ATGATTTCAGATGAGGTGTTAACTGAGGAAGAAGTTGTTTAAACATATGAGATATATATTTGTTCCTTTGACATAAAACATGAGAATGCAAAATGAAGGTAAAGCAATGCACACTTTTACACCGTATAGCACAGGTACAAAATGGTCATAGATCTACTCTCTGTTCAGCCATCATCCTCGTTTATATTTTACAAGAATGTTTTAACTAAATGAATGATACTGAAAGAAGGCTAGCTTAATCTTTTTGTTCGATATAGATATTCAATTATTAAAGAGATGATTTCCAAATTTTGATAAGATTTTATATCTAATCCACTGACGTCAAACGTGGAACTATTTCTAGCTTGCACCCACGTGTTTTTGCAAAAGATATAATATTGCTGTTGGTATTTTCATAATGCCAGCATCAAACTGAGATATTTATCCACTTCAATGGCTTACTAAAATGAAACAAACTGATTAAAAGTTCAAGTTGCTGAAAAGTCTTTGAAATTTTTTAAATTTGTTTTCCATCTTTTTTAAATGTATAATCTATATGTACATTATAAAGGAGTTTAAAAAATGTGCCAAGTTTATTAATCAAATAGTGTTGGTATTGGAGATTTCTGAATGTGTTCAGTTGGCTACTTTGTTTTCACACTAAAACCATATTTTAACACCAAAACCATATGTCATGGCCAATACGCGGTCTTTGACCTTGTACATAAGGTCTTTTAGGCTTCTGCATGAACTGAATGTAAACCACGGTTTTCATTGAAAAAACAGCGGTCAAGGTCAGAAAAAATGTTTGTCAGAATTCCCTAGTGTAGTTGGCACTTAATCAAAGTTGGCAGCGCGAATGTGCTTGATTGCATACACGTGTATTTGGTACGCGAGCAAACAGCTGAAGAGAGACAACTTCTGTATGGAAAATAAAAAAGGTCTTGGAAAATTATACACAATTATTTATATTGTAAAATGAAAAAAAAATTACTAAAGACGATTTTTGCTATATATATCTAGTACGCATGTTTTCCATGTCCCTATGTTCATTTAGAAGAATGTCCGTCGCTTGTCATTTTGGTAGTCTTTTATTTTCATTAGCCGAATGCTTTAGGTACATTTTGAGTGAGAATGAAGAGTACTTAGTTATATAAACCCATTTTTAACATATTTAAAGATACCAAATAAAGTTATCAAAGCTAAACTTAAAACCGTTTTTGGCCTTAATTTAAAATTTTTCCCGGGTTCTGTCGCAAGGATTTTTTTTAAATGAAATGCCTTTCATGATTAAGAGTGTCCATTTTTGTCATTTGTATATAGATGATTTATTTTTTTTATTCTCTATATCATGCAAGAACAATGAGTTTAGAAAACATTTTACGTGACATGATTTCGATGAGATGAAGTTGAATCATTAATATAAAGGTATTACAGGCTATTTGTGCAGATTTTCGCTCCATTATAAGCAATTAATTTTTTCTTATTTCAATTACTAGTATATACTATCATCTGCCCCCTCCCTCATCCCCTGGATGTGGCTTGATTAGGAAAAAATATTTTTAAAGTGATCTGTAGATCAGAAAAAAACAATTCTTTTTGATTGATATAAAAACAAATGTTAATGTAAAGTAGCAAGAGAACTTCAGACATTCCCGTACATCTTGGTCATTTTTATTGTGGCATATCTGACAAAGGTTAATTAAATTATTTTGCATTAAATTTCATTTTGCAACATTTCGCCCGAGTGGTGCAGTGGTTAGAACGTTTGCTCTAGAGTCGCGGAGTAGGGAGTTGCTCTTACGTTGAAGTTTCCCTCGTGCTCTACGTTACGCAAAAACTGGTCCTTCGGATCTCTTTAATTAAGACCTTTTTACCATTGTGCTGGCTTACTGCTCTAAAACTTTGCAACCCTCAGAGTGGAAGCGTCTCAGTATGAGTGAACTATTCTCGAAAGGATTTTAAAGAATTAAAAAAAATGTCGGTTTTAAAAGAATTTCAAATGCACAACACTACTGTAAATTACTCTTTATTCCCGATAACTCATTTTCGCGTAATTACGTATATGCGAGACATTTGCTCGCTAAAATTTCATTATTGTGTACAGTGTATATTAAATTTTCTAAAGTTTAAATAGAGCAATAAACATAATTCGTGAAAATATTGTCACGCTAATAAAGAGTGACTAATAGTCTCGCGAAAATTAAAGATGTTGCGAAAATAGAGTGATCTACAATATAGGTATATCCATGATGAATTGCGGGACTATTTAGAGTCGCAATAATTCCAATTCATGGAAAGTTTAAATTGAGCTCTTTTGTTCTACAAAAATCTAAACCTAAAGCAAATTCAAACATTGCAAAACTGAGCTTTCACTATACACTGTACATGCTATTTTCTGCAAAACACCATGTGTAAGAATATCACATGGTTCTACTTTAATTTACAATTTTTCCAGAAAAATAACTGGATAAATATGTAATAAATATTCCCGGGTTCATGCAATGGACATTATATTTAAAAAAAAAATATACAACGGTCTGCATATAGCATTTTGTTTAGTATGAAATCAAAAAATACAAAAATATAGAATAGATGCTTATTTATAATAAGAAATACAGTTTACTACAAGATGTAAACTTAAGGGTAATGACCGAATGAGCAGCTTTTCGGACCTTGGTAGAGGATATTTTCTATAATTTAACCTTTAAGGTGCTAATTTTTTTGTTCGTCCTGAACACGCTGTTCAAATAAACTTCATTCCCAGTTACTAGTCTGCATATATATATAATTATATTGCAACGTGTTTCTCAAAAATGTTTCAAGATGTCACTGAGGTATAAAGATGGAACACCCAGTAAGATTTTCTAAATGAGATAAGAAATTGAAATCAACGATCATGGTAATTACTTCTATGTAATTTTTGAAAACTGATTGTGAAATCATAAATAATGTCGGATAAATTTCATTTTGTGGATTGTATTGTCTTTATTACGGTAACACATTTTTCTTCTTTATGTCAAATTTAGCAGGAAAATCTGAGATATAACAAAAATCGGTATAATATGTTGAATTATATTATCATAAACTGATGGACTCTTTTCTCCACGTCATATATTCTGAATAAACTAATAATAAATAAAAATTTGGTCGGAGTAAAACATGCAAAAAAACTATTATTGTTTTAAAAATGGGTTCCTTTCATATGACCACTACTAGCATTTATTATTCATCTATGTTTTTCCCCTAAACTTTTGTTTTTATCTTTGAAAAATATATTGAATGATTTTTAAGGGATTTAACTTATCACCCCCCACCCCCCCCCCACCCCCGATACGATTGGATATTAAAGGGAATCCATTTTGATCACAGTTTTAGGCGAAGCATTCAAGGATATTAAGTTTAATCAACCACTATTATATATAGCAGCATATATTGATGTTTCTAAAAATAAAATATGTTATTAAATAACAAAGTGCTGATAGACTTCACAATACTCATAGATAATAAAGCTTGATGTTTCTGAAAAATTTGAATATTCAAATAATTTTCATAATCATTATCTTCTGTAATAATTAGTTGAATGAAATGTTTAAAGTTTTGGTTAAAAATCTACATTACAATAAAATACATGTATATCATAAATGAATTTCATAAATTTTAATAAAACAAATATAGTCCTTGAAATTATTACATCCCCCAAATTACTCTATCAATAAAAAGACAACACATATGATAAACTGCTTTGTCTGAGTTTAAAAAAAAAGATGACAGAGAAAACTTGTGGTTTGTTCGTATTGTTTTTGTTAATAATTTCTTTTTTAAATGATATAATAAATGTAGCCCTTTCGTGCGGTCGATCCGTAGATATATCGGCTTCACAGAAAAGCATATCGACATCGCCCTTCGTGCTCGGTCTATAGATATGCTTTTCTGTGAGGTTGATATATCTATGGATCCACCTCATGAAAAGACTAAATTTATATAATAATCGACGAATTAATAAAACTTTAGTTTGCTATAAGATAAAAAGCAAGTGCTTACTTATACTATACCAACAAGTATTCATTATCCCCGTTTATATTAAGCCTTTACGAAAAAGAAAGTGCGACACCGCCAGATAAATAATTATTATAATGTATTTGTCGGGTATGAGCATTAAATCATGTTACGTTAGTCATACGTATGTAACCATGGCCACTTGTTTACCGATTCCTGGTGATAAATCCCAAAACTATCCGAATGTTCAGAAAATAGCAATGCTCTAACGCATGTACATTGACATACCACGGAAGATGATGAACGTCTACATGTACCGCTTTTGACTGAAGCCTGTTCGGTAACCATTTATCCCACGTAAACAGATGAGATGCAACTTCGTAGAGTGCATGTTTTAATTAAAGAAATGTAAACGAAGAGACCAAAAAACTTCAACGAACCAGTGAGGAAACAAAAGTCTGTTTACAAAATATCTGAAGTAACAAAAGTAATTTTCAAGTAGGTTTGTAAGAGAATCGACGTGTTTTCATAATGAATCAAATAAGTAAACAAAGGATGAAATAGCGATGCTGCTGATCATATGATAAGTGATTTTCTCGGGAGGGGGTAAATTACATAACGCTAGCAGACCAAGCAGAAACATATGTACGGCAGAATTTATTATTTAAAAAATGATAAATTATCATATTCGGCGAGGCTGAAAAAAAACCAAAGTTAACAGAAGTTCATTTTCCGTAGAATCTAATCAGAAATTTCTCTTTTCTGTCGGCATTTTACCATCTGCAAGTGAAAGCAAAACAAAAATATACCTGGTTCAAGAACCCCACGTGACGTACTTAGATCTTCTGCCAGAATCTGGCTCCGTTACTAGGGAGCTAGGTAGATATCATGTCCCGCGGAATTAATCCCGACATCTTCATCCCTCGCTGAATTTCCCCCGACAACAGATATTACCCACTTTCAGTGCAATCTCCCAACTTATCTTTGTGAGTTTTTGAGGACTATATTTTTCTCCATTGTAGCCGTCGTATGACCGGGGATATGGCAGTGTGTCTAGTGGAAGAAGTCATGGATCAGTAAGTTCCATACTTAACTAATAATTTCTCCTCATTTATTAAAATAGCCTATCATTTCACTCCATTTGATCATCCTGAAACATAAAGCTTAAATATGGAATATAATGTATCTGGTGCGGTATGTTTGAAGTTTTGTATATTTTATTGTTTTAAACAAACGTAGTCCGAAATACTAGTATCTGACGTTTTCCGGGCTTCCATTTTGATATTTATGCCAGTCTGGTACGGTATGTTTGAAGTTTTGTGTGTTTTATTGTTTTAAAAAAAACGTAGTCCGAAATACTATTATCTGAAGTTTTCCAAGCTTCTATTTTGATAATTACAGTTTTCCTAGCAAGTGAAATATCAAAGCCTTTAAAAAAAAACTGGAAAACATCAGATATTTCGGACTAGAAAACATGTTACCCATCTTGTTAACAAAAATCGTGGTTATGTAACTTCAAATTTTAATTTGTCTTTGAATGATGCCTGGTGATGCGATTAGGCACAATCAAGTGAATTAAGACTAAGAGGGATCGTTTCCCCTCATTTAATAAAGATTTTAAGATAGAAATTCCAATAAAAGCGGTAATAAATACAACTTAATCGACCATTTGAAGTATATACATAGTTATTCTTAATTACTAAGAAAGTCCCTTTTTTCTCAATCCATTTCTTTTTCGTTAAGCTGATTCTTTCTGTAAGACGGAAATGGATATTGCAGAATATATTTATTTCTCCACAATTCACCTATTCCGAGTGCAAGAGAAGTATCACTGTTAACGCTATTTCTGAGATGAAACAGTCAATTTTTGATGGCACGTGTTATCCATTTCTACAAGGGTTTATGCCAAATCTTCAAACACATTTGATTACTTTCTCGGAATGATCTGATACTTCCAGAGTTGAGGATGATTTGTCGATGACAAAACGAAATGATCTCAACTATACGACCCTCAAAACATATACATTTTTGGGTTAGAAATTTTTCACTTCAGTAAAGTTTCATTTCATAAAAATCAATATAATTTTAACTATCTAAGTTTTTTTCCGACTAAATATAAAACCTGTCAAAACCTTTTGGTTTTGTTTTATTCTGTATTGTGCATTTTGGATCCTTGTCAATTGGTAGACTATAATCAACCCTGAGTTGATAAGCTCAACAGGTATGTGGCAGCAATGGCTATGGTCCGTGTTATTCTTAATTGATGCCTTCTTATTTACGTTCCAAGGCAATATCCTTGATCACCTGCTTTTGATGAATACCATCAAACGGCCACATGACGAAAGACAGGTCCCGCGTTCTATAGAGGCAGCATCTTCACAATATTACCTTGCACCAAGACGCGCCTAGTCTATTCTCTGAAGAATGTTTCACGAAATTCCAATCATCTTGTCAAACCAAATTACACACACATGTGCTTCCAATTCATTTAAACAGTTATTTACCTACGTTAACGCACTTTGCATGTTTACATTTGCATTCTTCACTCTGTGTTTCACAAAATCAGATTTTCTGCAAAAGGTCTAGGATTCAGAAGCATCTTTTCTGTTTGGAACAAACTTATTTTTGGAGAGTTTCTTTTTCGGGTAGGGTTTATTTATACATTTTTTTGATCAGTATAAACAAATACTTTTTTGTATATTTATTTGTTTTTTTATTTACAGCTTCACAAATGTGATACATCACATTAATCTTTCTTGAACATTTTTAAAGATTTAATTCTTTAGAAATTTTGAAAACGCTGGAAGGGATATAATATTATTTGTTTAGTCGATTTAAAAATTTCTATTTTACTGTTAAAAGATCGTTTGAATAATATGTACGTGGCAATCGGTCGTTTTCATGCGGTAATTATGCAAACTGACTTTGCCGCACTATTTGATCGAAAAAATAATTAATAAAAAACTAGATTTATTACTTTTAACCCATGGAAAAAAGTTGTTTTTTTTTAAAATCTGAAGATTACACAAAACAAAACAATCTTTATCAATGGAGACACCAGTGTTTTCGAAATTGATTACTTCTGGGTTTTGGAATCGCACGGACATTCATGATTGCACAACAAAATAGTGGTTTGCAGAAACATTGGTCTATGAAAAAAAGTTGGCTCTATCACAAAGTTTCCCCCGAAATCAGTTCGGTAAGCTCGATGATACACTTTTATCTATATTTCAAATCGCCTTGTCGTGTAGTCGGATTGATTTCGATACACAGCTAATGGGGCCCTGTTACATTATGGAGGGTGTAGCCCGCAGTTTCTCTGATAACCAGTATCCGATCTGATGACAAGATAAACTCGCTGAAGTTAGCGGTGATTTATCTTTCGCTTTTACACGTTATATATTTCCAGGCAGAACATGCTTCGTTCGATTTTCTAAGTAGCTAAATTTTAAAATTCAAAGAAATCTTTAAAGATTTTATGTACATAGCATAAGAATTGGGAAAGGGCTGCCTCTCTCCCCATAATTTAGCCGACATGTAATATACTGTAAATAACAAAGCTCCTTTTTGGATGTGTCCCCTCTTCAAAAATTATGTCTGATGTCACCCTGTCCTCATTTTGTTTGATGTTGTTTGCATGTCAAAGATTTTGCTTGGTTGTGCCCATCAAAACTAAAAATGTTTGGTCGTACTTTGCTTCCTGGCTCTCAAGTATACATACATGCATTTATCTGCCCTATACAAAGATATATTTACAGGATTGATTTGTCCGTCAGAAGTGCAAAGGATAATAGGAGTCACCATTGTTTTTTTAATCATAGGAGTCATCATTTTTTAAAATCATCTTTTGCAGTACTTCTTTTTACCTCTTTGAATTTATTTTATAAAATTTAAAATTTTGATATATCAAAGCAATTTTATTATCCTTTGCAGCATCATGTACATTTACACTACACTATCGTTTTCGAAATTGATAACCTCTGGGTAAGAGACACTTTGGTAGATAATTACCAAAAACAGTGGATTTGCCAGTAGAGAAAGAGTTATATATTGTTTCGCCCCATCTGTGCTCCCTTCCGGTCATAAGTCTTGTTGTTGGCAGGGAAGACGCCCTCGTCATCTGGAAAAACGCGTGATCTTCCTTCATGTAGATCACTCATGTTTTCCTGCAACCATCAATAAAACAGAATGGTTTACAATCTGTGAGTAAAACATCGTGCTTACAGATAATTAAAATAGAAAGTGAACCTAGATGATATACATGCAGTTTCAACCTCCCATTCTAAATAATCACTAACGTGTTTTTAATTTGATTTTTTAAGACAAGATAACATGGGATGCCTTTCAGATGATTGTTCAATTAATATAATCTAGGTTAACTAAATCTAAGTATCTTAATCTAAGACAAACGCCACAATCTCTTCAAAGACTGTTGTAGAGATAATGTAATTATAAGTAACCACTACTTCAATAGTATTTCATTATCTTTTCGAAATTAACATTGATTTAACTTGAGTATTGAATTCTTAGTCCCAGAGGTTAACTAGTGATACTTGCATCGAAGATAAGTAAAACAGTCGATTTATCATTACTTAATTCCTCTTAATATTATTTTCAACGATAAAAAATAATTACTTTAAGGATCACCCTACTTCACCACGAATATTAATCGAACACTCTGTGGTTCCTTCTTTTGGAATCAATCATATATTGTCAAATCTCTGACATTTTCATGAAGATTTATCCCAATTTTAGTTTCAATTTTCTCTGACACAGACAATAAAAAGAAACTTTCATTAAACGGTCAATATTTGAGGAATGTAAGTTGTGGTTCGAAAAAGTTTAAACACTTCCTTTTTTGATTAAAGTATTGAAGGTTTTCTCTAAATTGCTCTATCCTATAATGAGAAACCAGTTGCAATGGATTGCCAAGGTTCGAACAAGGTTCCGGTCAGTTCAGAAAACTAAAAGCACAGAAAAAATCAATCATTACATGAAAATGAGCGTAAGAAGCTAAGCCCACAAATGTAGCGAAAACAACTATTTATAATGCATGCATGTTTTCACTCGTTGGCATCTTTACATCAATCAATGAAACGTCTTTTAGATGAACCCTTAAATGCATATGTTTAATTCTCTTTTCAGTCTTACGATAACATGGGAACAAGTAAAGGATATGGTTCACCTAGTAAATTCGGAACAGGGAGTAGCAACTATCTAAGTCCATCATACGGGTCTTCATCCAAAAATTACTCTTCACCCAGTTACCAGCCATCCAATCGTTATTCATATAGTGGATCTAGTCCATACAACAGCAGCAGCAACAGATATTCATCATACGGCGGAGGAGGCGGTCTATACAGCAGCCCCGTCCAGGAGCGGATCCAACGGTTCTCAACTGGAGAAAACCGCTCTTCGAGACAGGACATGTATTCACCACTTAATAGCAACCGTGCCCCTTCCGTTGGAAGGGACAATTCATACGGATATGATAAGCATTCCACAAGAAGTGCAAACTCTGACCCATACAGCAATAGGTCTGGCTATCTCTCTGACTATGGAGGAAGCACAAGATCATTTGGATCATATGATAATTCTTCACTTCGCTCAGGACGAAGTTATGGAGGGGCCAGTAGAGAAAGTTCTCCTGTAAGTAACAGATCGTCAAGGTACGAGTATAGTGGAAGTGCATCACCTTCATACTCCACATATACCTCTGAAGCTTCACCACCAGTTTCACGAAAATACGAAAGACAACAAGCAAGAGCATCTGAGGCAGACCACGATCCGTATGGTCGTCGGCGCTCTCGTGATTATGGTAGTATCCCACCTCCTCGAAAAGAGTTAGTTACCTCCGAAAGTGACACAGATGACAGTGCTCCAGAAGCTGAGAAAGATGGATTCAAAGGACGATATCTTATCTCTCGGGGAACTTCTCCACCTCCAGAAGGAGGAACGCGTCGCGATATAAAACAATACAGGCGTGGAAAATCAAACAGTATAGCAAAGACAAAAAGATTACGTCCTCAGAGTCGTGAACTCCGACGAGATGGTCGGTTTCGCGGTCGAACATCAACAAACGTTGTTGACTGTGCAACACAAACTCTTGAGCCACCGTCTCCCAGACGGGGAAGACGTGGTTCTGCCGGTAGTAATGCAGGCAGTGCCGGAGTGGACATGCGTGAAAAGGCAGCGTTAGCAGCTTTAGCCATGATGGAAGATGGAGGGGGTGGAAATGGAGCTGGAGAAGCATTTTACAAGTACAGAGACAAATTTTCGAATCCCATGTCACCTGGTTATAACGATGACGGCAACAAACCAAATAGATATTCTTATCGTGATAAAGAAGCAACTGTGGCCGATGTGCCAGGAGAGAGATCGTGGAGAAAAGCAGTGTATGGCGATGTAGAAACACCGAAATCTGTTGCAGATTCTGAAGACGAAGCTCTTGTTCCTAGAAGAAGAAGAGCCCCTAGAACAAGCACTCCCAAGTCACCAAATGAAGTTAATACAGAAGAACCACTCAGTCCCCGATTTAGACAAAGGGATGTAAACAGAGATTCCAGACCAGACTATAACCGTTCTTCTTCAAGGGAAAGTATTTTAGACGAGACGCCGAGACGGAAACGGCATAGCAGTCGGGAACTGCTAGATAACCCCGGGGAGCCAGATATAATAGTTCATTCTCCCGTAGATTCACAACCTCCCGTGCAACGTCGCAGACGACATGGAAGCAGAGAGTTACTGGACGATCCAGTCGACGCCGATGCTCCTTTAACACCGGAAAACCTTTCCCTTCGTGATAGTATTGAAAAGGTTCACCAGTGGAAGCAACAGCTACCGATACAAGATCCTTACTCACGGGACGTTCATCCTGCACCAAGTGGTCCCATCAGGAACTTAGAGCCTAGGTTTCCGAGAAGTGATTCTGGTGAGTACTTCTCTGCGCATGATTACCCTCCCTCGAAATCTTCTAAATACTCCGAAAGGGACCTTTCTAGTCGCGATGTGTCACCCGATCGAGTTCGCGGGCGAAGGTCAGTGCGTGAGCCTTCGCCACCCCGCGAGGAGTCTCCGCCTCCTCGAAGAGGAAGGCGTGGAAGATTGAGAAGTGACCAAAATGACAATGTCTTTACAAACGACAGTGGTCATGAACATAGACTAAAAAATAAAAGCTACCGAAAATCAAATCTTAACAGATCCATAGATCTGGATGATGAAGCAGATGGCGATTCTAACGTGAGATCAAGAAGAAGCGATTCCAGAAGTTTGAATCCTCCGGCCCAAAACAATCGTAAATCTGGTAGTTCTTCCGATGCATTTTCCAGAGACGATTCTCCTAATCGTCGACATTCTCGTCAATCATCATATGAGAGTCGACGAATTAGAAGGGAAGGTTCGCGAGAAGATACATTAGATGACAGGAAGCTGCGCCGAGATGGACATCAAAGTGACCGTGGCCAGGCAAGTGATAGTTCTCATTATGGTTTCAATCGTGAGGATTCGCCTAATCGATTTCAATATTCTAAAAGACGACAAATAAGCAGAAATAATTCGCGCGATGACAACCTGGATGATCGACAACCTTACAGCAGGCAAGGGTCGGATGACAATGTACTTGATGATAGAGTCAATGCATACAATCGTCCAAAAAGTCTGGGTGTGTCCAATGAAAGCCTGGCTCATATGAGCAACTCATCTTCCATCCCCTCAATGAACTCTGTGGTACCGGACGATGGACATTTACGGAAAGGAACTTCATCCTCTTCAGTTATGTCTAACGAAACTAGAGCGACACCGTCGCCAAGATCACCAAACCAACAAGGTATGAATAAAGAATCAGGGTTACCAGACCTTGTCTCGGGGGCCAATGAAACAGGTACCCAACAGTCAAGTCGTAAACCGCAGCAGGCAAAGCGAACAAAAAGTGGGTTTATTGGGGCAAACATGGATATCGACAATATTTTAGGTAGTAACGAGGATGGCTCTAAAAAAGGCAAAATGTCTGGAGATTATTTCGCAGACAGTAAAAATCTTGACGAAGTAATGGTTAAAAGACCACAAAACTTGATGGATACACCAGTTCCTGATCATCCTCATCCCTTACAGCCAAAGTCGTCAGGTAACTATGCGTCATTCGCATAAAGTGATGGCGTCGACAAAATATGACTTTGGTACAGCGTAGATTTCTAAAAGGTCCCTTCAAACCTCTACCACTGTTTTATTCCTCCGTTATTTTGATTTTCCTTTTAAATATATGTAATTTCTGTCGTAATTATAATTCTTCCTTCTCTGTATAGACTTTGTTTAATAACAATTTGCTACACAAAGATTATATCTTGAAGACGACTTCACTTGCCTGATATGCCTGCATTACACTAGTTTTAGATTTATATTCTAGAAACCTTTTAATAATTAATTTATTATTAACCTGTCTTTTTCGTTGATTTTCCTTGATTTTTATTTTATTATTTTTACCTTCGCATGATCATAGAAATATCTTGTAATTTTGCCCATCTCTGTCATAACTCTGTAATCTTCAGTGATCTGCGCAGTATGAGTAATGACGGTTAATGCTTCCTCTGTTTGTTGTGCATCAGCAGTGAACAACTTTAGACAGACAAGTTGTCACAGCTGTAGAAACATTGGTGTATCTATTTCGCTTTGTGGGTAGCTCAAGACCAGTCACTTTGTTCCCACCACTTTCGTTTTAAGTGTGCTTCATCGCTTTTTAGCTCACCTGAGCCAAAGGCTCAAGTGAGCTTTTCTGATTAAAATTTGTCCGTTGTCTGTCGTTGTAGTCGTCGTCGTCGTCGTTGTCGTCGTCGTCGTCGTCGTCGTTGTAAACTTTTCACATTTTCATCTTCTTCTCAATCCACTTTTTGGTACAGAGTATCCTTGGGTGAAGGGGATTTAAATTTGTTCAAATGAAGGGCCACGTCCTTTTCCAAGGGGAGATAATCATGAATTTATTAAAAATTAATGGCATTTTTTAAAAATCTTCTTCTCCAGAACCACTGGGCCAGGAAAGATGAAACTCATGTGGAATCATCTTCAGGTAGTGTAGATTCAAGTTTGTTCAAATCATGACCCCCGAAGGGTGGGGCCAAAATGGCCGACCCAAGTTTTACATAGGAATATATAGGAAAAATCTTTTAAACATCTTCTTCTCCAGAACCCCTGGGCCAGGAAAGATGAAACTCATGTGGAATCATCCTCAGGTAGTGTAGATTCAAGTTTATTCAAATCATGACCCCTGGGGCAAGGGTGTGTTAAAAAGGCCACCCAAGTTTTATATAGGAATATATAGGAATAATCTTTAAAAATATTCTCCTCCAGAACCACTAGGCCAGGAAAGATGAAACTCATGAGGAATCATCCTCAGGTAGCGTAGATTCAAGTTTGTTCAAATCATGACCCCCGGGGCAAGGGTGGGGTCAAAATGGCCGACCAAGTTTTACATAGGAATATATAAGAAAAATCTTTAAAAATCTTCTCCTCCAGAACCACTGGGCCAGGAAAGATGAAACTCATGTGGAATCATCCTCAGGTAGTGTAGATTTAAGTTTGTTCAAGTCATGACCCCCGGGGCAAGGGTGGGGTCAAAATGGCCCAAAGTTTTACATAGGAATATATAGGAAAAATCTTTAAAAATCTTCTCCTCCAGAACCACTAGGCCAGGAAAGATGAAACTCATGTGGAATCATCCTCAGGTTTTCAAGTTTGTTCAAATCATAACCCCCAGGGCAAGGGTGGGGCCAAAATGGCCGACCCAAGTTTTACATAGGAATATATCGGAAAAATCTTTAAAAATCTTCTTCTCAAGAACCACTGGGCCAGGAAAGATGAAAATCATGTGGAATATCTCAGGTAGCGTAGATTCAAGTTTTCAAATTATGACCCCAGAGGGTAGGGTGGGGCCAAAATGAACGATCAAAGTTTTACATAGGAATATATAGAGAAACCTTTTAAAATCTTTTCAAGAACTTCAAATCCATGCTAAGTGATATTTTTATGGAATCATCCTCAGGTAGTGTAAATTCATGTTTGTTCAAACCATGACCCCCTATGAGGTTAAAATTCAAGCCCCTCTCCCCCCAAACTCAGTAAAATTTCAGTAGGGATCTGATATGTGCTTTTTCCTAGCAAATTGCTCAGGTGAGCGATGTGGTCCCTGGGCCTCTTGTTTCATAATAGATTGTAGTTTTGTTGAATGGCTTGACTGTTGTCTTGAAATATTTTAAGTGGTTTCGTGTCTTGTTATTCATAATCATTTATTGTTCTTAAGAACTTTTGTTGTTCATACAAATCCATTTTATAGAAGAGAAACTAGTGGATATAGAAGAACCACAGACCGTTCAAAGCCTAGGGGCACCACCGACAAGTTCCACGCCAGAATCACCAATGTCTCCCCAGAGAACACGGGGACTGCCCTCGGCAGCGGCCCAGCAGATGGGCAACATTTTGAAAAACAACAAAGGATCAGTTACCATCAGTGATATTCTGAACTTGTGAAAACCACCTCAGAAAGGTCAGGGTACCTGATACCAATCTGAACTGCACTTCCGGGGATTCACGACAGCCAATCAACTGCTGGAATACTTAGGAGTAGACACTCAGAAAGTAAGATAAAACTTTTAAAAATTAGATTTCCAGAGAGAGAGAGAGAGAGAGAGATGATACTCTAGAGACATTTTCTCAAAAAAAAACCCAAAACAAAACATATAATCTTGAGTACAGTCGTACACCGTATATCAACCATTTTAATGATCATGTAGAAACTTACTTATGATACTGCGTATATATTTTAATGGTTATATAGGCCCAATGTACATCAGATTACGTAAAATTTTACTGATATTCATTTCAAAATTATAACGAATAATAAAGCAGTTTCAATGACAAGAGTGCTTTAAAATTTGTTGCACGGAATCAAATACTTTTTTTAATTTAAGAATTCAAACTCAGCGTTAATATATATAATTCAACTATATAATTACGAGTACATGTAATAGATTTTAATAAATTGTATCCTATGTTAACTTATTTCTTTTTTTTTTGTTGTTGTTTTTTTTTTTGTTTAATTAATCATTTAAAAAAAACAGACGAAAGACACTCAGAATATTAATCGTCCACTTTTTTCATACTTCAGAAATGTTATTATCGGGAAAAAGTTTACAGAGTATAAACAATATATTTTGAATAAAATGTACTCATATCAGTAGTGATAAAATCGGTTAATTTTTAGGTGAAAATAAAGATGTCCAAATTTCTCTTGACTCTATTTATCACTGTTATGTACACTACAGCGAAACCATTTTCTTTCTTTCTCCTCCTTCCGTTTTATTTTTCTTTGGAAAAGGGGGGGAGTAGTCGAGCACTTACAAACGGCAAAGGCGAGGTAACTCTGATATCGTTGCATGGAAAGATTTGCGTTTAACGTGTATATACCACTTGTATACATTAGTTAGAAAGAAAATAATTTTATTTTGTTTTTGCATTTTTTAAATGTCGTGACAATATTCATGCATCGTAGAAATAATGCTTCTTATGTCTGTGTAGAAAATCTATAAGATGAGAAACTGCACAGTCTTCATTTAAGTTCTGTTTTTTAATTATTGAATAAATAAAAATATTATTATTATTATTTTTTTTTTTTTATAAATTTGATTATAAAAGTTTCTTTTAATCATCATACTATAAACATTTTATTGATCAATGACATTTTTGGAGAAAAAATGACCGATTAGGAGGAAGACAAATTCAAACTAGAGAGAGAAATATCTCAGAGCCTCAGAGAGAAATCAAAGTTTGATTAGATATAATACAGCTACCTCTAACGAGGCTTTGGGTTTTTTTTTAAATTTATTATTATTATTATTTATTAATTTAGAAATTTGAATTATAGTACTCAGTCTTAACAACAAATCTTTATTAAAAATTGGAAAAAAAAAAAAAGGAAAAAAAAGTGGTCACAAGGAGTCGGTATTAATCTTAAGGAAAATTGAATTGTAAAAATTCGTTTTATATCAAGAAATTGGCACATTAATACTGACTGGATATATTCGTTATAAGATATATATCTACAAGAGCACTAAGAGCCCACAGCTACTGAGTAGTGTGGCAAGGAAATTGAAATTTTTCACCTGGGAACACGCGTAGGAATACATGGGTTAAGGGTCAATATCTTGAAGATCAAGCAATCATATCAAAAAGTATGGCGACCTTCGCGAGTCGAGTACAGTATTTGGATGATACCGATCCTTTTTCGAGTACAAATTTTCCAGAACCGACTCGTCCACCAACTTTTACATTCCATATTAATGTTCCTTTGATTAATCAAATTGGTGGTGTACATAGACTTCTTGAAGCGCCACATAAAGTAAGTTAACAATTTTTCATGTGATCGCTGTGGTTGTGAAGTGTAAACAAACGCAGACGTCAATATCATTGTATCGATGTGTTTCATTTGCTTTTACAATGAAATGATATTCTTAAAATGTCAAAATACACAGTACTTATTTACTTGATAAACATGATATTGTCATTTGAAAATTATTCTTATTTTTATTCAATTTCTTTCATTTTTTTTTTCCACCAGTTTTCAATCTTTTTTGTCAACTTTACTTACTTGGCATTATCTTTAGTGATTCTTTCTTCTTTTTGAAATTACGTTGTATATTTATTTGAATATTGAAATATTTGAATCATTTTATAAGTATTTATAATGTTAAAATGTAAAATATGTTATGATGTACAGAAAATGTTGATACAGTTCTACAGGTAGCCCTATGTTCATTTCACAATTCGATAAATTAATTTTGACATAAGGAAAATAATATTATCATGATTACGTGTCATTGAAAGACAACTGATTAATGTATCTGACTTTTACTTTGTTCAGAAAATTGCATAGAGTCGGTGGATAATTGGTATAGTATGAATATATGATATTGTCTGATTTTTTATGTGTCTGAGTGACTTGATTATAACAACTGATATGGCCACTGTGGACTGTCAGTTGGTGTTTAGCCCCAGGAATGGTTTGAAAGTTCAGACTGTACAGAATTCTTATAAAACTCACAGTAAGATGACATAAAATTTATATCAGATTAAGTCTGAGGTTTTATTTTTTTATCTCCATTCCCTAAAGGCAGTCTGTATTTATATTTTTTGATTGAACTTGTTGAAGTAATGTTGTTTGAAGGTTTGTTTATGTACTGTAAGATCAGTCATTTGATCAAATGATATGTTGAACACTTTTTTTTCGCAAAGAATGTTGATTTGGCATGTTCAATACATTCTGTAATACCCTAAATTTGAGGCATTGTATTGTTTTTTTAACAGTTAGAGGACTGTGCCCTTCAGATCTACAGATATCACAATGGAACCCAGGGAGATTATGGAACCTATCTGGACTTGGAATCCACCATAGATGAACAACAAGACGATTTAGAAGGATTCCAAGATCAGTAAGTGAGAGCTACCTGTTTATAGGAAACGTACCAATCCACTGGAAAAGAACAAAATACCTTTATATTTAAGAGGGGGGGGGGGGGGGGGATGGGTGGGTTGGAGAGACTTACCATAGGTTTTGCTTTGGTCAATGAAAGATCATTAAAGATAAATTAGAAATTAGATTTATTTTACTTTTTAAAAATAGATGATATGCCCATCATAATACTAATGCTGATCCCTTAGAGTTAGAAAGAAGAACATTTGTTTATAAGACTGTTTAGAATCAGTTGATTAAAATTTGTTATCTAAATTATTAATGGTATAGTACTATTTGACTAAGGAACACATGAATACAGATGAGTGGGGTGGGATCATAATTTAATTACAGATAACTCAGTTATTTTAAGAAAAGTCTTTAAAGAAAATGATGGACTGTTTGCCAAGTCTGTTCTAAAAATATTATACATCTGAAGACTGCTTGACGATAACCAATCCATCCCAAGTAAAAGTTAATTTCTGAGTTTTGGGTCATTGACTGAGAAGGCAGGGGGAATGTCTTAATCTGGTTTGCTTCATATGTCAGTTAACAATATTTTTAATTATAGTATACAAAGAAAAATTTAAAAGCTTGAAAAGGGAGGGTAATGCAAGATTCATCGTCTGAAAATTGAAAAATGGTCTATCTGTTCACCTTTTAATTTTAACTTTATGAAACTTCATATTAGGGTCTGTCTGTAGGCTTTTAAATAAAGTGAAATTCAGAAATTAATCAAATTATCAAGTAAATTATCAAAGATTTCATGACAGTTATATAATGGAAAGTTCAAACAAAGATTCACATTGCTTGGTGACCATCTCTGGAACAAAACAAGAAGTTAAAGCGCAAAGTCATAAAGTTAGTCTACCCCAGACATTGTGACTAATTTTGCTCTGGTATGCTGTTTACCAGGGTGCTTTGTTCCAGTTTATTACATTGTTACTTTTATGGATGACAGATAATCTAACACAGAATAGGGGGGTGACATGTTGTTTTGTACCAAGTTCATATACCCACAAACCTACCTGAATGCTGTCTAGCATTATAAACTTCAACTGACTGCGGTTAATCTATGGTACAGGGATGATCCTCTCAAGTGTTGGATATTGTCTCTCCATTCCATTTATTAATTTGACATAGTTCTGTTTGTTAAATGTGTTTTATCTATATCAATGAGCATATAAACACTTGAGGGCTTTCAAGCATTCTCATCTGCGATAACTCAAGTGCTTAAGATGACACCATATAATATCAGTAAAATTGTAGGAAATAGGTACTCTATTACTCTTTGTAAGTAAAGCCTACTGCTTGGCACGCGATATGTATATACAAGTATTCCATAAATATTTTGTGGATGAGGCATTGTCTCTGGTCATAAGGTTTCAAAGACAGTATCTGCCTGAGCGGATATGACAAGAGACAGCAGATACTAGACTGCTGAGTAGACTAACCAGATCCTGGCATTTAGTCAAGGACAGCTTAATATACACCATACTCAAGTTCACACATCAGTCAACAGAGCTATAACTTTGTCCAGAGGTTCACTGAGAACACCCAGAACTTCTGAAACCATGACCAAAGGTTCACAAAGAACACAGAATTTCAAAATTGATGACCAAAGGTTGATCAAGATCACCCAAAGCTAGAAAAACTGACATCTAGAGAAGTTTATTGCATTTGAAAATGAAATGGTTTCATTTACCCCAGTAACTTGATTTTCAAGGTCATAGATAACCTGCTATGTGGTTTTTGCAGAAGAGCCCTGATTTTCTGTTGGTAGCTGCAGCAGCATTATCTGATCCCAGGTATAGCTACAGCTGCCGAACTCTCCGTGGGCCGCCGGAGTCAGTTAATATTGCCAGGATTAGGTGAAGGATCTGCTTTTGAAACTAGATCTTTTTTATCAGTATAACTGCTTTCTTGGTTGAATAACCTTCAAAACATCAAACACAAAATGACATGGCTAAAAAAAAATACTGGCTCCAATCATGTCTTTCATTTAAGAATAATTATCTACCCCTTAATTTAGAGATATGAGTAATTAACACTGGAAAAAATAACATATATTTAAAAATTTCAAAATCAAAAATAGAAAAGACTCATGCTCGACAATGGTTTTAGACAAAAGTGCAGCGTATTGATTTCAATATAGATAACGTTCAGAATATCGAAACTAAACAAAAGGTTTCTCATTGCTGGCATTGTATGTAGATATTGTCCGAGGCCAGCATGCAGACTGTATAGCTCGTAAAGAATTCAGGAGAGACTTGCATACAGTTTTTGAGTGTTTGTTTGACAGATCAGAAGTATTTTGTTGAAAGGTTTCACATCTCCTGGTGTTTATCGTGTTGTCTTCAGGAAAGCTAGGTGATTTATACAACATATAGCCATGCATTCTTTACACATATATACATACATTGGCTCAGTTGAGGGCCTTCTTCTAAGAAAGAAGTCTAACAGTTTACATTATAGATACATGGAATGTCCATATTTTTGGGCATGTGTCAGAAAGTGAAATTTGTGATCGTGCATTAAGTGTATAAGGTTAAGAGTATCTAACAATGCACGTACAACGTTCTACATAATTATCATACATTTCTGAAACATCAGCGACACACTTGTGATACTAAGTTTTCCTACATGATATTGCACTTGATGGACTTCTATTCACAATATATCATGAAAATTATGCATACTTTTCATTTAGAAGCCAAAACCTTAAGTTTTCTTCTGACTTTACTTTTCCCAGAAAACAGTCCGGCATTCTTCGGTATGTACTCAAGTCAGGAAATGCAGTAGACATGTTTACCTGTATTCACATCAAACCTGGACAGGACTTATTAGCATAAAACAGAACCAGCATGATCAATTATTGTACAGAACCCTACACTCTGTCTGTTAGAAAGCATATCATCACAGAAATTATCCAAAATTTGATTAACACTTGTACAGTAGAGACTAAGAGAGGGTAGCCAATTCAATAATCTTATCTGTTGGCCGCATCAGAGGGACACAGGTTTTGAGTCTCAGAGGGAGACGTAAGTCCTGCTGACAGTGGGACAAGTAGTAGATCATTCCACCTTTACGTAGACCTATTATCTGTCTTTGAATTATCAATCACTGCATGTCTATTCAGTAGATGGCACTTTAATTATGGTCTCTATACGGAAGAAAGACTTTCCCTGTGTAAACATTTTTAGCTAGATCTTATATAAGTTTGCTGCATTATGCTACAAGGTTCATATACCATGCATACAAGGTTTATATACCATGCATACTGCACATGCAGTTGTAATTAAAATCACCATTCATTGGACGTGTTTTAAAATTTTTTTCTGTGGGTGTGTAAACACGTACATTGAAATGAAATTAATTGTTGAATCATTCCTTAAACAGCCAGTCAATCTGCCACCTACATGGCTTATTTTTTTCACAACTCCCTTTGATTAAACAAACTTTTATTTTTTATGACAGGTACATGTAAATAGATATGTTGGCGGAATGAAAACATAATTTGTTAGGAGTCCTTAAAATAAGGAATGTGTATATTTATATTGATATGAGCATCAGATGTCATTAGCTTAATAAGATTATTAAAGATACCTAAACATTTGTCATTTCAATGGATTGCCTAAACCACCTACATATGGATGAGATTCTATGAGATATCTTTTACACTTTGTAACAAGGTTGCTAAAATCAAGACCATGATTTCTCTATCCGTTTTATCAAGTGCTGATAAAGATCCTATCTCTAACACTGACACATACTTGTTTTACAAGCCATTTATTTCTTTTCAATTTAAACAACTCCTCTTAAAAAGACATTTAAAGTCATCTGAAAACTTCCTCAATTTAATTTGTTTATATTGAATTATTTGTATAAGGAGATATTCTAGATTTATTGCATACCCTGTAGTTTTGTGAATGTTAAAAATTTTCTAGATTTTAAAATAAGAGAGTTCCAAAAATATTTTGTTTGATCCTACCACAATATTTATTTAAGAGAGTCCGATGTTTCAATAGGTGATTGATATAAAGTAATGGTAGTCTACACAGGAAATCTTACCTGTCTTAGATGTAAACATAATATAAAGGTCCCCTGTGACAGGTTTTAGGTGAGCAGTGGTCATATATTTGTAGCATGTTTCGTATATAAACAGATGTGTACATGCATAGATTATTAAAGAGATTATTTGTTACTTCAAGTTGTCTGTTTTTCCAACCTGAAATTGATATTTAAACATTTATGAGCAAAAGCAATCTATTATATTTGGTTAATTATAGATGTATATACCTATTTTAAGTGTACTCACGTTTCTTCATATCTAATATAGTACTGGTGGATGGTACATGTACTAGTGAATTTATAAGGTTATACCATTAAAGCATTAAATATTAATCAGTATTATATGATTTTAATCATCAATGTTACTTTTTTTTCCAGGAGAAAGAATGCTTTGATATTGAGGACACAGTTAACAGTACGAGTACATGCAGTCATAGGTAGGTATAGTTAGGGATTTATTAAGTACATTGTAACACTATAACTTGTATTTTTTAGCTCACCTGAGCCGAAGGCTCAAGTGAGCTTTTCTGATCAAAATTTGTCCGTCGTCTGTCGTCGTCGTCGGCGTCGGCGTAAACTTTTCACATTTTCATCTTCTTCTCAAGAACCACTGGGCCAATTTCAACCAAACTTGGCACAAAGTATCCTTGGGTGAAGGGGAATCAAGTTTATTCAAATGAAGGGCTACGCCCCCTTCCAAGGGGAAATAATTATGAATTTGTGAAAAATTTATGGCATTTTTAAAAAATCTTCTTCTCCAGAACCGCTGGGCCAGGAAAGATGAAACACATGTGGAAGCATCCTCAGGTAGTGTAGATTCAAGTTTGTTCAAATCATGACCCCCGGGGCAAGGGTGGGGCCAAAATGGCCGACCCAAGTTTTACATAGGAATATATAGGAAAAATCTTTAAAAATCTTTTTCTCCAGAACCACTGGGCCAGGAAAGATGAAACTCATGTGGAATCATCCTCAGGTAGTAGCAGATTTCAGTTTGTTCAAATCATGACCCCCCGGGGCAAAGGTGGGGCCAAAATGGCCGACCCAAGTTTTACATAGGAATATATACGAAAAATCTTTAAAAATCTTCTTCTCCAGAACCACTGGACCAGGAAAGATGAAACTCATGTGGAATCATCCTCAGGTAGAGCAGATTTCAGTTTGTTCAAATCATGACCCCCCGGGGCAAAAGTGGGGCCAAAATGGCCGACCCAAGTTTTACATAGGAATATATAGGAAAAATCTTTAAAAATCTTCTTCTCCAGAACCACTGGATCAAACTCATGTGGAATCATCCTCAGGTAGTGTAGATTCAAGTTTGGTCAAATCATGACCCCTGTGGCAAGGGTGGGGCCAAAATGGCCGACCCTAGTTTTACATAGGAATATATAAGAAAAATCTTCTTCTCCAGAACCACTAGGACAGGAAAGATGAAACTCATGTGGAATCATCCTCAGGTAGTGTAGATTCAAGTTTGTTCAAATCATGACCCCTGTGGCAAGGGTGGGGCCAAAATGGCCGTCCCAAGTTTTACATAGAAATATATAGGAAAAATCTTTAAAAATCTTCTTCTCAAGAACCACTGGGCCAGGAGAGATGAAACTCATGTGGAATCATCCTCAGGTAGTGTAGATTCAAGTTTGTTCAAATCATGACCCCCGGGGCTAGGGTGGGGCCAAAATGGCCGAGTTTTATATAGGGATATGTAGAGAAACCTTTTAAAATCTTCTTTTCAAGTACTTCAAAGCTATGACTTGTGATATTTATATAGAATCATCCTCAGGTAGTGTAGATTCTAGTTTGTTCTGATGAACGCCTGGGGGGGGGGGGGGGGGGTATGGAGTAAATTTAAGCCTGATGTGCTCAGGTGAGCGCTGTGGCCCCTGGGCCTCTTGTTCTGTTTCTGAGGTAGGACATGCTATATTTAATGTTGATTATCATGATTATAGCATCATTATAATTACATCAATCCTGATTCGTGTTATCATATAGGATGTTTCCAATAACTGATAGATGTATGCAAATTGATTCGTTTTATTTGTGGGTTGTCTATTCATGTCTATTTTAACCTTACACATTACTTTGGAACTTTTAAAGTTTTAATATTTCTGAGTTGTAAAACAAGTCAGTGATCTAAATTTTCCTTATTTGCTAACTCAATTTGATCCTGACATCTCTATGCAACACAAACAGACAGGTTTCCCTCTTATGTTTGCTGTGCCTAGGAACTTTCAATAAGCCTTTTGGCCCTTCTCCCATATCTTATGTAATTTATATACTTCCCTGGCATAAATCACTTAAAAAATCTGCTATCCATACACATACACCTGGAACTAAAGCTATTCTTCAAGTGCATTCTTTATTCAGTGCAGTTACCTATGATAGGTTGATTAAAACATATGTGGACAGAGGTTTGGAAAATTTGAAGCTATAATTATGACATTGTACAAATTTGTCAAAAGATGTAAAAAGATTTTTGCTGAATTTTGACATGATAATGGCCTTGTCGTTTCTGTCAGCTTTTTATTGCATTTAAATTAATTTTGTGATGACTATATATCTCCCACAAATTGAAAAACTAGAAAAAGGATTAAGGCAGCTTTAACAACATGAGCTTAATGGGAGCCCCTCTATCCACAGCTTTATCTACTGTTGTGAGGTGTGATAGTCAGTGTCTGTGAAAAGCAAACACAGACAGAAAGATTTTCCAGATGTAATCTAATTTTCTGCTTTGTTACCCTTCTTATAAATCTTAAATTTGGCATGTTGAATTCTCCTTGAGCTGAAAATACTCTGTCTATAGGGGAAAATTAATTGAAAGTTTAAAATATATACACAGAGAAGAATGAAAGTTTGAATTAAAGAGAAGATGTGCAAAGTGATTTTTTTATAAATATTTATGAATGAACATATTGATATTTTCATCTTTATCTTATTTTTTATACTGATGAAGTAATGACACATGAAGCAATTTTGGTCAATTGAAAAAGATATTTTGAGATCTTGCAGAGGCAGCTCTGAGTTAAAAATAGCAGAAAAACTGTTAAAATATCAGGAAGATTTTTATTTTCATACACAATTTAAACTCTTGGAAGAATCTTTCAAAAATATAAACCTTTAAGATAAGGGCCTGGTATCACTGGAAGCCTTCCTACTGGTGGGATGCTGATAAGCAATCATAGTGGTTTCCTGTTGGAGTCTGCCAAGCTTTTTCAGCACATTGATCTAAGGCAAAAGAGAAATCGTAAATCTAAGTTTCATGAGATGATAATTTAGTTTCTTTGAACATGTTGATGTTTTTTTCATCATTCAGTAAACAATTTTTTTTTCATTTTGAGTTATCAAGGCTTTCATGAAATATATACAGTTATACTTGACTTTGACTCCCTTTCTTTATTTTTCTAGCAATAATTTTTCCATGCATTCTGTGTATAATTTGGCTTAGTCTAAAATTAAGTACATTAATTAGCAGTGGATTGCTTTCTAAAGTAATGGCTATCATATTAATGTAATACTCTTGAAATCAGTTAAATTTTTTTTTCATGATGCCGAATTAATTGAATTAAGAGACCAAAGCCTTAAAACTCACAGATTGTACAGACACCTGCTGATTCTATCATTACCACTACCACAGGAAGTGCTACAATTAGTTACATCAACATAATTGATAAAAAAACTCATTTTGTACTGTGATTCATGACTACCATCTAGCCCTGCCCCTGACCTACGATAATATCAGAACTGTATCTGATAAGTATGAAATATAATCCATATCTGGACCCATCACTTCAGTGTCAGAGAGAATCAGAAATCCATTGTGGTGGCAAAGAACATTCAAATATTGTAATACCATGGGTGTTATATATAAATTTAAAACAGACATTTGATGCATCAAGGTGACATTGACAGTGCAGATCTGGGTAGCTTTCTGCAAGTTAATGCAGTCTTTGTTCTTGGTACTTCAAGACTTGTTCCATTTGTTGTGATTTAGGACAGTTTAAGGTTTCTAAGGACATCTTAAGAAGGAGAAATTGACCATGTTTTGTGTCATGGCTTACCCACATACTCAAGCAAATTAAAGAAGGAGATGTCAACAGGACTGAATGTATTTGCTGTTACCCCATTAACTCTACGTACCAGAAGACGTAGAAACATTGTCACCACCGATTCTGAAACAATGGGTGGAGACAATTCTGTAAGAGGAGTACAGGATCTAGGAAGAAATGACACTGAAGTGACAGTGACTGGGGTCCAAAAGGATGCTAAAGTTAGGAATGAGTCCTTAATGGTGACCAAGGAATACACAGCAACCTGCAAACAAGATGGGCCAGTGTATTCCGTTTCTAAGGTCACAGAAGATTGTAAAAATATCAAACCAAGGTATAAGGACAAAAATGAATTGAAAACTTGGTCTGAAATAAAAAACGAGGCCACCAAGGATTCCAGCAATGGTAGTGTTTCTGAGGAAAAGGATGTATCAAAAAGAATATCTTATGTTCTTCTTCTGGGTGAGTGAGGACTAGATATTTCCAATGTAAACAGTGAATCTAGGAGGTGAAAAAACCCATAAAGTGAAATGTTTAAGAAGTTTATGTCTGTGAAAGTGATGATGCATGAATGTAGGATTAACAAAGCCTATGGCAATGTGTAATCAGGTTTAAATCAGTGTCAAGAAATGAGGAAAAAATTAGGAATACTTAAAGTCAATTCAGAGCATTTTGTATGAAGTAAGTGTAAGATTTAGTAAAGTGAGATGTGTTTCTACCTTAAAAGGAAATAAAGAACATTAATATTTGGTACATACTGGTATGTAAAAGTTGTCATTGAAATAAATCATCTCAGGGGAGGTAACCACCTACACCTGAGTTATTTCCCTTTAGGATATACAATGTAGGTCGTTTACGCACTCGGTACAGCACAGATTTGGAAGATTATGACAAAATTCAGCATCAAAGGTTGTTAATCATGGAGTGGCTGGAAGGTAGTCATGAAAAAAATAGTTCTCAGGTATTTTACAGAGGTGATAAAATAAACACTGGACATGCATTCCTTCTAGCGCTAAAATATGGCTGTGTTGGAAAGGTTATTTGTTATTAGGTTCTTTGTAAAGCAAACTAATTATCAGATTACATGTGTTTGATATCAATCATAACATCAAATAAATAAAATAAATAAATTACTCTTTACAAAATGAACTACAATTCAGATAGTTTTTATAGTCTGTGTGTTGTACATTTCTACTATTGATTCTTACATTTATAATTTATTGTCTGAATGATGGGACATATTTACATTATTGGCATTTCCTTTGATTTGCTGGTTTGTGGTGAAAATTTGTGGGGTCTGTTTGAGGTCAAGATTCATCAATATTTGAGACAAACTGTGTGTATATTATGTACATTGATTCGTTATCTGCTTAAGAAGAGATAAAGAGGGATCAAATCTGTGTAAGGGTTTACCAGAAAGAGTGTATTCAGTTTATGAAAGGTTACAATGTTTATCCTGCAATTCAAGTCCTCAGGTCTTGTGGCAATTATATAAGGAAATGGGGAGAAATCTTTGATCAGTAATTGATGTAATGCTGATTGGCCCTCATAAGGTGATAAGATTTGGGGATTATAAGTAGTCAGGGGGGTACTTTAATCCTTTAAAGGTGGGAATATTCCTAGACAACAATGTTCCTTCAGCAATTTGTGGGTACTTGCTATATATTCTCTGCTGTTTACTGAGCGGTCATGTCTTGTAGGTTTCATATACCTATATGTTTACCTGGCAATGATGAAGTAGAAGATTGGCCTTAGTGCTATGTTTACTATTGGCTTTAAGTCACACTCTTATAGATAATTGTCAAGATCATCTGAAAATATTCAAATCACCCTGCTGTTGTTCAGACACAGGTAAGGTGTCACTCAATTTCTTACAGAGCTCCGGATTTATTTTGTGTATGATTTAATGCCCCATAGATTTCACATGCATATTACATCAGAGCACAAAAATAATCTCGTACTTAAGGATAATAGCAGTTCTGAGAGCAGTCAAAGAAACGTGCAGGTGTATGGAGATATACAGTGTAATAAAGTATATAAAAAGTATATTGAAGTTATGAGTCACTTCCTTTACTGAATGTTAGAACTAAGCTGGTGCCAGGAGAGAGGGGATTTATCTGTAATCCTCAGCCATTAACTGAATCTGCCATAGGAGTCTACTGAAAAAACATTATCATGTTTTTCTTTGAAAGAACTACACATACATCTACACCCCCAACAAGTTTCTAAAGTAAAAAAAAATCATTATAACCTTTCAATTACCTGGTAGTTTCTATATTTAAATAGAGCAATGAACTGAAATTCAAAGTACTTGTTGTGGTATATAATAAAATATTGCTGATATAGCTTTTTAGGTCACCTGAGGCACTCAGTTTTTCTGTGTCGTGTATGTGTGTCGTGAAACATTTGAACATTTTCACTTCTTCTCTGACCATAACCAATTTCAACCAAATTTGGTATACAGCATCTACACCCCCCCCCCCTGGGGCCTGACCAAGTTTCTAAAGTATAAAAAAAATCATTATAACCTTTCAATTACCTGGTAGTTTCTATATTTAAATAGAGCAATGAACTGAAATTCAAAGTACTTGTGGTATATAATAAAATATTGCTGATATAGCACTTTTTTTTTGTATTTACATGTATTTATTAGGGCAGCCCTTCCATTAAAAGCAATAACTAAATTTGTTTGACATTGTTTTGCAAAATATTAATGACAGACCACATTATTATTGTTTTTCTATTATATCAGTGTTGTTCTATTATATTTGTAGAAAAACTTCTGAATTCCCATGGAAGAGAACTTAGGCGTGCTTTGTTTTCATTAAAACAAATCTTTCAGGTAAAATTTAAACAATAAAAACACATCTCTTCCTATTTAATCAGTGCTTGTCTTTACTTTGTTCCTTGCTTACTGATCTTTGATTCCATATTGTAGGATGACAAGGACTTGGTCCATGAGTTTGTTAACAATGACGGCCTGGATTGCCTCATCAAGGTGGGATCTGAGGCGGACCAGAATTACCAGAACTACATACTCAGAGGTACGTATCAGAAATAAGCTACTAGAAAAGAATGTGTCAATGTTCAGGGGGAGGGGGGCAAGTAATTTCCTATAAAAATACAATAAAATGTGTATTTTGCACTCATCTCACTGGGTTCTCATATCAAGTTAAGTGTTAACCCAAACGTATTGCCTGTTTGAGGATGACATCATCTAAATAGTGAAAATTCAGAGATAGTATATGCACAACATTAGGGGTGCACAATTGCATGGTTTAGAATGGAAGTGCATTTTTCTCTTAGTTACTCTGATCTACTTATGAAAAGAATAACATTTATGATGATTTTTCTCTTGCATGGTTTAGAATGGAAGTGCATTTTTCTCTTAGTTACTCTGATCTACTTATGACTCTCTAGTAAGCATTGCTAAGTGTATAATTATGATAAGCAGTAGTGCCTCTTTGCAAAATTGTGAATTTCATGGCCTCTGGTTTAATAAAAGGGTTTTTTTTTTGGGGGGGGGTTTTTCTATTATATCAGTGTTGTTCTATTATATTTGTAGAAAAACTTCTGAATAAAGAGAACTTAGGCTAGTGGGGGTATATGAAATGAGGCAGAACTAGCAGATCAATAAGTAACTGTGTTAATGAGGAAGGGTTTTACATTAGCTTGTCTATGAGCAGATCCTTCAAAATTAACATACATTAAAGATTTCTCACAAGCAGTAGTTAACACTTGCTGTGCAAACCTAATAAAATTACCTTGAAATCAATATTTGCTTAAAATGTCACAAAACCGAATTTACCTTGAGAATTCATAATAAAAAGGGATGCATCACAATTGGAAGTTTATATGCTAAGTATTATACATGTACCACCTGACGAGAATTAAATTGTAAACCCAGTAAAAAGCTGTTGTATGCATGTATAGGTATCAAACAGTAGTGAACAAACACTGACAGCAAAAGATAAAAGAAATTTACAAGTTTATTTTAGGGATTTCTATGTTGGTTTAATGCACAGGGCTCTGCAAGGGGGTTCAAATAAGTGTTGCAAATGTAAAAGAGATTTAAGTAAACAGAGGGCTTTTATTAGGGGAATTTGTTAAAGGAAAATGCCCTGCTCGGGTCGGAACTATTTACTCTTGACTTAAGTCCATACCTTTATAATGAAGTATGCTTTGTTAGTCTTTAAATCGACTAGCCTAATGTTTAGAATTTCAGACAAAGATTTCTCCTCACAGCTCTATTTACAGATTATTGTACATTGTGATTCAAACAAAAACAAAATACATTCTAGCCTAAAATCATGACCTAGATTAAAGTACTTCATGGCAGTAAATAGTCCTTATATATTTAGATCTTTAAGGTAATGAAGGATAATATTGACAACATTAATGAAAAGAATGTATCTTGACATCTAAATGTTGAAAGCAAGCACTGGTGTTTCAAACTGCCAAATCTTTTGTGTCATTTAAAGGGGTTCACTAGATCTAAGTATATTGAGGAAGTATAACAATATTTTTATTTAAGAATTATAATGGTGACAGTTGACTTCTCATGGCAGATGTTTTGTTACCTGTGAGAAAGTGAAACCAGTGTTGCACACTTTGTGGGAAAAACAGAAAACACATATATTGCATTTAGGCTAAAAATATTTATGATCTATCTTGCTTGTGCATTCAAATGAATCATTATAAAAACAAAACACAGCTGTATGCAAGATTGCAAGTATAGATTAGTTGTTTAGAGGATATGCATAATGCAATTATTCCATTATTCATCTCTGTCCAATTAAGTCATTATATTTGCATTCGTTGTCGTTTCAGCTCTGGGACAAGTCATGCTGTATGTGGATGGGATGAATGGTGTGATAAACCACCCAGCTACCATACAATGGTTGTACTCGCTTCTGTCATCCAAGGTGAGATTACTACGGGTGATAAACCACCCGGCTACCATGCAATGGTTGTACTCGCTTCTGTCGTCCAGGGTGAGATTACCATGCACCATGTTCAACTGTACCTGCAAGGGACATTACAGATAGTGTTGCAAAAACAACATCACATTTATTTTGAAGTTTTATCAGTTTGAAATTCAGACATAATTAAAATTTTTGAATGAACCAATTAATGAAATGTAGCCAGCAATTATAATCCAATTTTGTCTCTTGAATAAGAAAATTAACTTATTCATCAGTCCTTTTCACAGTGCATTCATTTTATCTTGCAGGACAAATACAGTATAAGATAATAATTCATCAAAATATTTTAAAGATATTGTCACTATGAGAAATTGTGGAAAATACAAAAACCTTCCTTGTTAATGGGTCTTTCAAAATTATTTTTCATTGTTGTGTAGTAAACTGTAAGTATATTGCGTGGTTGTGGTTTGTTTGTAAGTAGAACCTTACTTTTGAAGTTTGTGTGTACTGGTTCAACTTCTGGAAACTCAAGTCTTTTTCTGTTATGGTCAGTTTACTCAGATATGTCTCCATATGACAAATATCAAGGGTTAACAGAAATGAAACCAAACCACAAACAAAAATAGAAAATTCCTCTCAACTTCATCACATTTAAAAGATACACCCTTCATTCAAAATTTGATTATTACTGGTCTTAGTGTTCCCCAAGGTTGGACTTTTTTTTCTTTGTTCTTGCACACAGTCATTAAATTTGATGCCAATATTGATTAAGTTCTGAGGAAAGTTGAAGCTTTTACACAAAGGAATAAGTTGTGCTATTTGATGATTGTTCTTTAGACATAAGAATATAATAACAGATGATACTGTCTTTCAGTTTCGTCTGGTTGTAAAGACTTCTCTGAAGTTATTATTAGTGTTTGTGGAATATACAGAGTCCAACACAGAGATTCTCATCTCAGCGGTCAATGCTGTGGACACCAAACGAGGTAAAGTGGACACTTACTTTTATCTCAGTAATAAGCTGGAAAGAGAATGTAATGACAAGGAGGTAGTAATTGTTTCTCCTTACCCTAATAGATATCTCTGTAGGCAGCTTTGACACTTAAATAAATTCTTGCTTTCTGTTTAAATAGCTTTCATTTTCTTGGAGATTTCATTTTTAATTTTTTTTTTTTTTTGGTAGTGTAAAAATGATTTTTTGATGAAAGTCATTCACATTTTATGTAGAACTGTAAATATGGATTGTCTAGTGCAAGCATTACCCGGTAATTAATACCGTACTTGAAAGCATTGGATTAACCATGACTTTCAATATAATACATGATCCATTCTCTATTCCCAAATAAAGTAAAAAATGTTACCCAATTGTCTTTTCTACTTTTCTCTTATTTAAGAAAAGAAATAAATCATGTCATTATTAAATAGTGCATGTAATGCAATGAATTATTGCTAATTATGAACTACAGGAAATCATGAATTGATATATACATAAAATCTGAACTCCCCTGTTAAAAGTACAAAATGAACGAGCAGAATTGTTCATTGACACTGTAGATTTGCGTGTTGGACAACCATAAACAGTGTCAGGTTCTGTGTTAGTATGTTGAAGAGTAGCTCAGGCCGGGACTCGGTACACATATCCAGTGTTTGACCTTCAGGTCAATTTCACGGCTCATTGAAAACAGGTTACAGATTAAGATAATAATCATGCACCTTACAAAAGGAACCTTGAGATGTTGATTTGACATGATGTTGATAACGGTATTGTGTTCCTTTTTAAATTTTTTTCCCAGGAATTTAAAAAAAATGCTCAATTAGAGCAAATTACGAAATGGAAATATTTTTTTATACAGTTCAAAGAATATAGGCCTGCTAACTCATAATGTTATTCATAGTGTAACTATGAGCCTCAAGCACCTTTATATTATTGTTGAATTGTATAAATAGGCAATAAAGTAAGTGATAAATTGGCACTAAAATAACTATAATAAAAATTGTGAAATTAGTCAAGTTTAAAGTGATATTAGAAGTGAGAAAAGATACAAAGAAAGATAACTCTTTCACAGCCTAAACGTGAATCTTTGAGATTAAAAAAAAATCACTATCAGCTCGCAAATACTCTATGTTGCCCTTGAAATGATAATCTGAATGATATTGGTAAAGCTTGACAGTTTACATGAAAACAATTAAGATACACATGTGTATAGCATTATGATATTTTCAGTATGATATTGCCCATTTTTCATGAGTGTGTGCTACATTTTGTGTTTTATTATCAGGTGTAAAGCTTTGGTCCAACATAATGGGGATCCTGGATGAAAAAGAGGGAGGAGACACTGAACTCTTGACCTATGCCATGACCCTTGTCAACAAGGTCAGTCTAACATAAGACACATTAATAAGATGAAAGAAAAATACCAAATGATAGGGAAAAAAATCAGTTATAGCGAGCACAGCGAGGGCGTGAGAAGCGCCACTCGGGTAGCGAGCTCAATAGAATAACGAATGGAGGAAATTTGCTTAGAAATCTGCACATTGTTCCAAGAAATTTTTATCTCACCGCGTGAAAAAATTCCAAACTCCTAATAATCCTTTGCGGTACATAGCAACATGGTGGCTAAAGCATAGCAACAACTTACTTGAAAAAAAATTACAAACAACGATTTAATGCAATCTCCATGCCACAAAACTATCATTTGCGTTCTAAGTCAACAGGACATTTTTTTTTTACGTCATACTTTCGTCACTTAAATGACTGAGGTATTTCCGATTTTGTCGAAAACTACCAAAAATTCGAAATCTTGATCCCGAAGCCTGGGAAGTGATTTCTTTTTAAGCTTTTCTTCCTTTTTTTATAATAAACTGAGGATAGGCAGTGCAAGTAAAAGCTGTGTAAAGGTTTTTGATAGTAAATAACTGCGCTCGCCCCAACGGTCGCACCATAGAACATATTATGAGATTATCATATGATTACAACTGCGATCTTAGAATATCTTAGCAAACCAAAATTTCAACAACTTTTCTTAGAATATTTGCTGCCTTGAACAATGGAACCCCCTCCCCTACCCTATTTACTTACTTCAGTATTTATTGTTATTCCAAACTGGCTAAATACTTAATTAAAACATTGTTTAGGTTCTAAATGCCATCCCAGACCAGGACACATTCTACGATGTCACGGATGCCTTTGAGGAGCTGGGAATGGAAAGAGTCACACAGAGACAAATGAACAAAAATGGAGCCGACCTTGACCTTCTGTCACAGTTCCAGATCTACGAGGTAACATTGATGTCAGAAAAGTAAAGTAACAATGAAGAAATGATATTCACAAGCATGAATTAATCAGAAAAGCATACTGACTGAAAAAGACATGTTTGATCTTTTAGGCTGCTTTGAAAGCTGAGGATGGAGAAGAAGATGGGAATCAGTCTCAAGTCGAAAACCTCAGGTAAGACACCTACCTCTTGACTCATTCTTGGAGAGAAAATTTGTCAAATTTTTTTTACTCAAATTTTAACAATGTAAAAAAACTTCATTATACATGTATATGCTATTTAATAAAAGGGATGAAAATGATTATAAACACACAATATTTTTTTAGGAGAACACCAAGAATAAAAGCAGAGGGAGAAATGGGTAGAAAGAGTCGGCGATATTCTCTAGGTACAGGTCCTAACAGACTAGCCAAATCAAGAAGTGTGCCAGAACTCCAACCTGCTGAAGAATACAAACTTAGAAAAGAAAAACAGAAAGAGTGTGTATTCTTATTTTCATTATATGCCTTCTTTTACTATGAATGATAAATTTGAAATTCTAAAGTGTTATCAATACTATTTGAAATGATCCAAGTGCATACGTTTTTAATTCTTTCATAATTTATAGAAAATCATTTCAGACTAGGGTATATTTTACCCTGTATTGAACGTTAATTTGGAGCTAACATTTTACAGGAGATGCCAGCTTGTCCCAGAGGAACATGAACAACACGACCAGCTTCCAGACCAGCAGCTGAGGATGAAGAAGTTTGAGGAGCTCCAACAGAACATGGAGGAAGTACGGCCCCCTGACAAATTACTTTCCCCATCCCAGGAGCAGGTCAGCGGTTCAGCAGAGAAAGACCCCGCGTGTCGCCAGTCTTCGTGTAAGTCTGTGGACTGCCGTGTCAGTGTAATGAATGTTGTGGAAACTGAACCCGATCTAAATCACTTCTGGAAATATAGTCTCTCTCTGTATACACACTACAAAGTCACGTTCCCAGTCTTATTTTCAGTGTTGAAGTAGATCTTTGTTTTTAGTTGATTAGTGTTATGCATGGTTTATTTTGTGAATGTCTGTTTTTAGACCCAGCATTTGAAGTCAACACTAGTAAGTAAACTTGGGTTTTCACAGCTTTCCAAGTGTTCATCACAAATGTCATCTGAGCCTTGAATCACTTTTGATGACAGAACAAGTCTTTTTATTATTGCACTGCTTTAGTTTTCTGTTTGATATATAAAACATGTTGTGATATATTTTGGGATGTGGCCTCAAGTGGGAGGGGGGGGGAGGGTCAGAAGTATTCCCTTACATAGCAAAATCAAACAGAAAACTAGAATTATCTAACTTTGCTTGGATCCTTTATTCTTGCTTTCAGTTAATAATGCAGAGCAGAAAAAATATATTCTTCCAAAATATCCCACCCCTTGTATTCCATATCACAAATGCATCTTATATTGTTCTTTGTCTTGCAAGTGTAGAAGTACATTCTTATTTCTGGTGAAATGTGTTTTGCTAGTCAAGGGTGTATTTTATTATTGTATTTCAGATTAATTGGGAAGCAAATTATGTACACATATTATTAAATTTTTATACCCCACAAGTTTCTGCCCTGCACAGTCATAGGTGGCATGAAAACTTTTGAATTTTCAATTGAAACATTTGGATTGTTTTTGGATTTATGGCCTCAGTTTGATTTTTATTTGCTGTGAACTTTGACCTACTAACCACGCATGTCCTCCCAACAGATGTTCCAAGGACTCGTCAGCAACGTAGAGAGCGCCAGCGTTCCTTTCTCAAGGAACAGGAAATGGAGCGAGCACGGCAACGTGTCTCAGACCGTTACCATGACATTGAACATGACCGTGCTTCTGTGGCCAGCACTTCCAGCACGGGGTCGTGTGATAGTAACTCACACCCTGTGGAGATTGAGTCTAAATACTCGTCACTGAGCTCACTCAGTGATGTAGAAACAAATGACCATTCAAGGGGTAAGAGTGTAGAGAATGTAGAAATAGAAGACATAGACTTAGTGTTTATAGTGATCAAAAGTAGAGAATAGCTAGTGTTTTATCTTGCAAGACAAAAATAGGATTATAATCATGAACTTTATATTTGTATATGAGTACATGTATACCAATTTGATTAAAAAGAGACAGAATTATATGCACAAAATTTCTATTTTATTTCACAATAATAAATCTAAATAACATTATACCTGTATATATTTCTTAATATCCCCTTTTATTATACTGGGATACTTTTTATAATATGGATAAGCATGCATTGACAATTTATTCCTACTCTGCATGATCTGAAATACTTGTATTCCAAGACCAATATTTTCAGAGCAATATTGAAGAGAGTTGTAAAATATTTTAATTGATATTCACCTAATGTTTCTATTCAAGCCAATTAAAATATTATAAAACTAATCAAATATTTTTTAAGACTTAAACTATATTTCAGTCACTTACTGTAAATTGTTTATTTTTAGTTCATGACAAAAGACGAGGACAACAGAAGCCTTTATTACAACCACAGAAACCTGAGGACACAATCTCTAAAGAATCTGGCTACAACAGCAATGATGAAGCATCTCACGGTCAACAAAACAATCTGGACTCTAGAAATAACGAGATCAATGACACACTCAATCAGAACCAGAATGGAATGTTGGAGGAGAACAGTCTGCCACAGGACATGTCCAGTAACAGTCGCTGGCTGATGTACATGAAGAAACAGAAGGAGAAAGAACAGGAGGAGGAAGAGGTCCCCGAGCCAGGGGTCCTCAAAAGACACCCCTCCATCAGGGGAGACACAAGCCTCACCCAGAGAAAGGAAAATCTGGAGCAGGGACTCATAGGAAATTCTCTTATGCCCCCCAAACCCATAGAGACTATTGAAGAAAAAGATAACAGACTCAAAGATCATATTGACAAATTCTCCAGTGGACCAGGTGTATCTGAGTCAAAGGAGAAACAGGCCCCTGTAGGAGATAAGTCAGGGTTAATCAGTCGTGCCAAAGAGGGTCTTCAACAACAAACAACTGTGAAAAAGCCAGAACCAGCTGTACCAGTTGAAGTGAAAAAGACAGAAAGTGACATACAGTGGGATAAATTATTACAAAAGTTGCACAGACCTTTGAAAATTAAGGATGTTGATTTTACTGATCTCAAGGACTCTGAGGATGAGGATGTGTTTTGTCCTCCTAAAGTGGCATTTAATCCAGCTCTGGGTCCTCCTCCTCCCCCAGGGATACCAGGGATGGTACCCCCACCTCCCCCACCCCCCATGGGTGGGATACCCCCACCCCCTCCACCCCCCTTTGGAGCTCCTCCTCCACCACCTCCACCACTGGGAGGAATTCCTCCCCCTCCCCCACCTCCTGGTTTGTCACCAGTGCAGAACCTACCAAAGGTTAACCTTCCACCAGCTCCAGGAGCAAATCTGAAGAAAGTGAAAAAGACAATAAAACTTCACTGGAGAACTGTTCAGGCAGAAGCTCCACATCCTTCTACCAAAGGAGAAACGATCTGGAAAGACATTGTGAATGTGAAGGTGGATCCAGATAAACTAGAGCACCTGTTTGAGACCAGGAGCAGTGAAATCAACAAAAAGGTCAGTTTTATAATGATAGAGGTGTGCGCCAGGGAACACCGCTCAGTCTTTGTTGTTTTGCATTAATCACATACATATACATGTACTGTAATCAGAAAAAAGTAGATATTAATTGAAATAATGAAATTTACAATTTTAATGTACATATTCCATTCTTAAGAAAGAATATCGACAAAAATTTTGCAAGATCATTTTAAAGAATGTATAAAATTTGCATAATTATTAGATGTTGTTTACTAATTTGTAGACTAAATTTCAACTTATAATAATGAAATGATTAGATGTATTATTAACAAATCTTGCAATATACAAGAAACGATAAATGATAAAAAGGTTTTTGAAAGGATCGGGTCTCATACTAGTATCACTCTTGTGTGAAGCTTTGAATATTTTGCTGTACATGCACTGATGTTGGATTTTATTGTCTTTCTATTTCATGCTGTGCTAACTCATCGCTGACACACATTCCATGGTTCTGTAATGTTGTTGGCTAATTGTGCATGTGTATTGCCGTGTTTGTAAAACACGAACAGGAGTCGGTAAGGAAAAAAAACAAGAATTAAGTACAATTCTTAAAAATTATTTCCCATAATATTCTGTAGAGCTCATTAATCAATCTGTGATGCTCAGTGTTCTACAAAATAGCACTATCATATGGTGTTGGGATCCCCTCACTGGAAATGTTCCTATCCAATGTTTTCACAAGGCCTTGTTCCTTGTTTTATATGTTTCATATACTCTAAAATTGATATATTTTTTAATATCATAAATGCTATACTTACCCAAACATCTTTCATAACACTCATACTGCTTGTATTTTCAATCTTTGTATTACTAATAAAGTTCTGTTAAAAAATACTAATCATTAAACTTACAACTCTTACTGATACTTTACTGTCAGATTAATGAAATATTAGTATATTTCACTCATTCTCTTATGTACCAGTGTAGAGACCTCCTCCAGTGCCCTCTTTGTTAAATATCACTGTAATTATTCTCAGTCCTCAGCACTTTATGTTATATAGACAAAGCTGTACCTTATTGCCTTATCTTTAAGCACCTCTCCATATTACTGTTTCTCAGCAGTTAATTCTCATAATCTACCTGTACTTTCAAATATTTATAAGCCTCCTCTAATTTCTGTTAATGTTTTCTGCATTTAAAAATATTATTCAGAAAGTTGTCAACAAAAGTTCCACTGAATCTAAATCATAAATAATGGTAAAGCTTTAATGTATATTAACTGAAACTTATTTTCTGAATGTTTTTTAAATTTTGATAAACTAGTAATTCAATTTTAAATAATTTTAGCGTCAGGAAACAACAGGCAAGAAAGAGATTACGGTGCTGGATGCCAAACGGTCCAACGCTATAAACATTGGTCTCACCGTGCTACCGCCCCCCAGAACCATCAAGGCGGCCATTTTGAAAATGGATAATGCCATAATGAACAGGGAAGGCATAGAGGTAATAGGAGCATGTTGTTATTTAAAAAAAAATTTGAGTAGATATACATTAATTTGTACCTCATTTGTTAGAAAAAAGGAAAATTATTTCATTATTTTCCTGAATATATATAACACTGGTTTCCTTTTCAGAAAATTCTGATTCCAACAGCGGAGGAGAAGACAAACATTTTGGAGGCGCAGATGGCTACTATCCCGTTAGTATTGCAGGCCCGACTTCTCTTTGGCTATTTAAACTTGACTATGAAACTATAGAAACTGTAAGCTCATTTTTGAAACAGTATTAAGAGGCAGTCCACCGAAAAACCAGGCAGTTGAGTAGATATACATTAATTTGTACCTCATTTGTCGACACAAACAGAAAATTTCATAGGTGAAAAAAGGAAAATTATTTCATTATTTTCCTGAATATATAACACTGGTTTCCTTTTCAGAAAATTCTCACTGGAATGATTCCAACAGCGGAGGAGAAGACAAACATTTTGGAGGCGCAGATGGCTAACCCAGATATCCCGTTAGGAACCGCTGAGCAGTTCCTTCTCACTCTGTCCTCAATCAGCGAGTTGCAGGCCCGACTCTCTCTTTGGCTATTTAAACTTGACTATGAAACTAAAAAAATATTTTATTAAAAAAGTGAAAAATAAGATTTAAAAAATATTTATTGCAGGCCCGACTCTCTCTTTGGCTATTTAAACTTGAAGTATTGTTTTTTTAATACCGAAAAGTAAACAGATTTTACATGATTGTAATCATGTACGTAAAAGACATTAGTATTTTAAATAAATTGTACAAACATATGAAACTATAGAAACTGTAAGCTCATTTTTGAAACAGTATTAAGTTCATAATGTTGAAAAAGGAATATTTGTTGTTAAGGATTGCTGTCTGCAAAGAACATGATAATTTTTTCTTTTCTTGCAGGAAATATCTGATCCACTCTGTGATTTGAAAAAAGGCATTGATGAACTGAAAAAGAATAAAACATTTAAATGTATTTTGTCTGTGATATTAACAATTGGAAACTTCCTCAATGGTGCTCAGGTGAGTCTTCTTTTGTTTTAGTACAATGTTTAGTATGATGTACTTCTACCTTTATGTAAAAAAAAATCTAAATTTATGTTCATATATTTTCAGGCCAGGGGATTCAGTATTGAATACTTGGCAAAAATTCCAGAAGTTAAGGATACTGTTCACAAACACTCGTTACTCCATCATTTGTGTGCCATCATCATAGAACAATACCCTGACACAACAGATCTGTATTCCGAGATAGGGGCACTGGCTCGCTGTTCTAGGGTACGTAATCCCTGTCTGACTCAACATACCTGTAGTTGTAGATACAAGCACTTTTGTGCAATTCAATGATATGTAACCATTCTACAGCTTGTCAGATCCATGATTTGATTTTGGTCCTTCTAAGGATGCTTTATCCATCTCTAACCTAATCTTGTTTATTTTACAGGTGGATTGGGATGAGTTGGAGCGCAAGCTGGAGAAGTTAAAGGGAGACTGTAAGGCATCCTGGGATCACTTACGTGCAATAGCTAAACACGAGGGCGGATCTACCTCCAACCTCAAGTCAAAGTATGTCTACAAAGTTTGGAATATGTGCAAGATCTGTATTATGTACAGTAGCTAAAAACAAGAGAAGCTAATGTCAATGTCTCATTGATGATGGTCTCTAAAACATCTTTTGAAACTTTTCCAATTTATTTTTGATAAATAGATTGTATTATGTATGTGTTTTAGCTAAGTTGAAAATGACTGCTTTTCAAAATTTGCTAAAAAAAATTATTAAATTCTATGTGTGAATCTAATATTAAATAATTTTGAAAAGGTTATCTGAGTTCCTGGCTGATGCAGCACAGAGGATTATGATTCTAGAGATTGTGTCCAGGCGGGTGATCAATCGCTATCATAAACTGCTCCTATACATGGGAATTCCTGTACATTTTGCTAAAGACATGAAAGTGAACTCATTTTGTAAAATTGTGAGTGAATTTGCACTGGAATACAGAACAACTAGAGAGAAAGTCTTGCAGCAGCTGGCAAAGAAGGCAAATCAGAGAGAAAGAAAGAAGACCAGGGGGAAAATGATTGTAGATGTATGTTGAGGAGAAATGCACACTTTTTTGGTGTTAATATTTGAAGTGGATGATTGAAAAGAAAATAATTTTGATAATTTATCAGATACAGTTCAATTTTTTTGTGTTTTTCTAGACGGCGAACTTTTCACGAAGTCGGTCTAGGGACGACGGGAACATTAGTGAGGACCACGCTAACTTACACAAACTTCTGTCCAATGGGTACACGAGTTGTGATGATCGGGGTCTCCCCGGGCTCAAAAGTCGCAGTCGAAGATCAGGACCACGTAAGGAATTATCACTGATTTCCATCATGTCAATTGTAAAAAAATGAACTGGGGGCAAAATTTTAAATGGTTAGATTTTACTTTGTAAAATAAAAATGTCTTGGTTGTTTTTAACAGTTGACTCCAAGTTTTCGTCGTCTCGAGGATGTGTTACGACAGACTCGGAGATGTACGACACTGGAGATGACGAGATTTTAGAGGCGTGTGTGAGAACAGCCACCGCAGCATCAAGTAGAGCCCCAAGGGAGAGAAAACGAGCAAGCAGACATCGAAAATCTTGTATGTACATGTATCAGATTTCAAGCATTAATTCTCAAATTCATTCATTAATTTGTATAATTGTAGAATGTCTGAAATATTCTTGTATCGAATGGATGCAAAAATAACACTTAATATTTTTAACAAATAAATGCCTGAAAATCTGTCAATCTGTAGAAAAGAAATCAGTTACTACATTAGGTCTTGAATATCGTCATGAAATTTGCCTCTATAATTCCAGCCGTTCCAGTTTTAGACCCCCGACTTTTAGAAATGTATTAAGTGTCCTGCTCAGGTAAAGATTGCCCCTTCAGTGCCCCTGACTTAAGTTATGAGGTCAGATAGGCTTCGAGTGCAGTGTTCAGAGAAGTACTCTTCATCTTCATGAAATTATGCTTAAAAATTAAAAATTTATCTTTCCTAAAAATTATGTGATACACATTAATGCAGAAGGGGCTATTATATATTTTGGTACATTAAATTTATGCAAAGTTCATGAATGATGAAGAAGGACTTGAAATTTTCCAAGTGATTTTATTATTTCTTTTTATTGCATTATTGATTGACTTGAGAGTCGGAATGAAAACTTCAAACAACCTTTACTGCCTGTTAGTTTCCCTTTCAGAAAAGCTGTGTTATTTTCAATATGTTTACAATTTCATTAACCATTGATGGCTATGCAGCCGTTATAATAAAAAATGACCAATTTACCTTCAACTAAATCTTGTTTAACACAGCCGAATGGAGCGATTTGCTGTCTGAAATTGTCAACAGCAATTTGTACCGAACTCGCACTTCAAAGGAGGAGGATCAATAAGTAAAATCCCTTTAATTCATTTTTGCATACTCAGGAGCAGGAAAATTAACTTAAATAAAATAACAACTTAAGTGCTTTCTAATAAGAGAGAAATACTGCTTTTTAAAGAATATTGAGAAAATAAAATTCAACTGCAGTACCAAATTAAGCAAATATGAATAAATTTCTATAGATACCTTGACTTAGTGGTATCCTTTAGGAATCCCAGCAAAAAAAAAAATATTGTATTGCTTTATTAAATTCCAAGACTACTTTGAGTCTGCTTTTTCATGTGCCTGAACAGTTCAGTTGATGAGGTGGTCTGCTTTTATCCACAAGCCAATATACATGACAGAGCCTTTTTCACGTGCATGAAATTTTACCACAACGTAGATTTTTATTAAAAAAAAAATCAACATTCTATCTAAACTATCAGTTTTAATTTACGAAAAAAAAAGAATTTAACTTGTATCACATGAGTTGAAAATACAATATATATCATTATATGTAAATACAGTCTTTCATGGTTAAATAGATGATTTTATTTTATATACACAACAAAAGCCTCTTAATATTTATTTATGCTAACTGTAAGCTGCACCTTCTGCATCTTAACCAGACTGAAGGATAACAGGATACACTGCATGTTGATTAGAGATTTAGTCAATGAATACCACATAGAAGAACCACAGATCGTGGTAGATTCTACTAATCTGTACTATCATGTTCATTTGATCATTTTATCATACGGTGATAACAAAAAAAAAAATCATATTTGATCTGAATTTTTAAGAAGTTAGTTTTGAACATGAGTATGACATATGTCTCGTTCATTAGGGATAGAGTAGGTAATCATTACCTGATATTATCCTATAGTAACGTTTACTGTCATTGGCTTTGTTTCAGTTTGGGATAGTGACACTGAACACGTTTAGGTAATCTCATCGTCACTGCCAGCTGTCTGCTCATGCTCAGTTTAAATCAACGTTTCTGTGTTCCGTTATTTCAAATGTATTGATGCTTTCAGTGAGCTGGTTTGATTTTTTATTTTGTAGTTGTATTAGTATTTTAAAAGTCATGATTTAATGTCTAGTCATTGTAGTTTGATTTGTAAACAAAAACTGTAGAGAAACCGGTGTGAGAACTATTCTAGCAAAGATTAAAAACATGTAGTAAGGATTTATCTATCTGAAAGCATTAAAACATTCGTTGATTTTTAATTATTAGAACCAAGTTTATTTTTAAAATGTCATGTCTTTTGAATCCTCGTACCTCTAACATGTGAAGCCTTATTTAAAATGACCTAATAATTAGCCGTCTCTGTTTCTGTAGGAGGTCTTATAAATGTGAATTCAGAGACTGGTAAGATAAAACCATAAAATCACAAGGTGATGGTGCTTGTTGTTTGGTAAAAAGAAATTCTAAGTGAAGCAATCCAAGTCAAATTAATCTGTACAGAATGTTGAAATTCCTTGTAAGACATAATTAACCAATTCCAGGGTGGAATGATGTGTGGGATGCAGAGACTGGTAGATATTTTTCTATGTAGTGATCTCAAGTTTGGATGTGTGATATTAAAATCTAGAGTTTATCCTAGCTAAACAAAAAACCTCGTATACACATTTAATATTTCACGATTTCTAGATTCTGATCACATCACCTTATGTTGCACAAAGTTTAAAAAGTACAACAGAATTTTCTAGTATTAAGTTTCACAATGAAAGCAATATAGTACATTTTGAATGACCAAATACTTGGTCAAAAATAAGGAAATAAAAATGTTTTTGAAAATCCATAAAAAGCTCCCCGAGACAGCATGTAGTTTAAGGAACGTTAAAGATAGCATGAGGAATGGTATGACAATTGAATTTGGGTTTGCTAGTTGTTTTGCATTTTGAAATATTTTTGTTTTTAAATCTAATATTTGTAATAGTTTCATTATGTGAGGTATATATATATGGCAATGTTAAGTAAATTAGATTGATTTAGCTCTGAAAAAAATGTTGACTTCTGTTTATAGATTTTCACATTTAATTGCTGAGTAGCACTGATAAAAGACAGCATTGAATACCATTATTAATGATGTACTATTAACATTCACAATGTGTTTAATAACTAGCATTTATTATGCCTGTCATTTTGTATATATCTGTAACTATAAATGTGGAAATGATATGTCAGTGTATAAAGTGTTCGTTAGATTGAAGGCATGGGAAATTTTTTTTTTTTTAGAAAATCATCTCTTATAAATGCATTGACGAAACTTAGTATATGTGTTGTTAACTGTCTATAACTTAATTATATTCTTTCATAAGTTTTAGTAAGTAGATTTAAATAACACACAAGTTTTTAATTTCTATTGCAGTGCGACGTACTCTGAAAAGTGGATTGAATTCTGATGAGATAGATATGGTGAACTCCTTCTCTGATGCAGTGTAATGGATGTCAAAGGGTACACAACTCTGGATTAAACAGCCACTGCATGGAAACTACATCGATTAAAGACCACTCTTTAAAAAAAGCCATAATAACTTTGTATAAATTATCTATTTTGGTCCTGTATAGTTTCAAGTAATAGATATCAAACGTATCCCTAGTGAACTAAAATGTTTGATGTATTTTAGACCATCCATGTATTGACCATACTACTAATGTTCAGTGTATTTATATTTATTACCATGTGTATTTCCTATATTTGATTGCTGTTTGGTTATTTATACTGTGTGAAGGTTTAGTCAACATCAAACTGTCTCTATGGAAGGAGTTGTCCCGTTCATTTAAGTCTTTCAGTTCAAAGTTCATCTCAGAAGTCCCTCATTTTATTCAAATCTGTATCCTCCATCCATAATTTAATTGACTCATATTTTAATAAGTAATCCATGAAAAGGGTGAACTTTTTTTTATTTCATAAGTTATTTGTCTCCATTGTATTTTTACAGACACAGGGTAAAGGGAGGTTACTCTACAGATAAATACACATTTTCCATGAAGTTTTTATTAAACATTTCTAAAGTACATTATCTACATGTACATGTATTTAAATGTATAATCATAAAACTCATTTTAAATTGTTGTTATTTCAGTATCCACTTTTAAATTGACATAAAATGAAAACAAAACTGAAGTTTTGAAAGCAAAAGTAATTTTGTACTGTTCAGACTGGAATTTATTTTAAAGTTGTATTTTTTTTTTGTAAGAAAATGTACTCATCACCCAGTGTTGACCAATTTTAGGTTTGGTGATGTGGTTTGACGTAATTTGGTTTAACATGGTGAATGAATGACTGTGATAAATTTTTATTTAGTTGCAGGAATCCTACAAGGTTATCTACTCTCCTATTGACTTTTTATATATTCTGTGATGCATTTGTTCTTTATCTATACTCAACTTCTTGTTAATGAATCTCAGAGATTTGTTGTCTTAAGTTCTCAGATTTAAAGATTCACTGAATGTGATACAGGTATTTTATGCTTTGATCAAGTTTTGAAATGCACTTTATCATTTAAGAGAGGTAAAGGTTCAACGTGGTGCAGATTTATATTAATTTACTCGTAGAAAGTAAATGGACATTGATGTATAAAACAATGAACAAATTTTTATTTATTTCAGATTTTATGCTATATTTTGTTATGTTGTTAATCGTGTGTATAAGGGCAGGTGTGATGTGTTGTTATTCTATAGCTCTGAATGTAGTAAAAATTTATTGATGCAGTATTATTCAACAGAAATCTAACATTCTGTTTGTAATAACAGATATGTTATGGTGCTTTCATTGATTTTTTGCAATAATTTAGAAGTAATAAGCTTGGTTAGTTTGTTCAATGTAATAGTTAGTATTTAGTTGTGAAATTTCTTTAGTCCTTTGTTGTTAGGGGCAGTGGGCAATAATTGTCATTATCTGTCAAAATTTCATCTGTTTTGCCAGAAAAACTAGTCAGCCATTTTGTAATCTGACCTTTCATTTGACCCTTTCACCAGGACGCCACATTAGGAGTGTCTCAGTTTGATAAACATGTACACATCTTTTTTTATTCAGCATCACAGACAAATCCTGCCATATTTTATGTAGACACATTTTTCAATAAAAGTAGGGTGAAGTAAATCTTGTTGTCTTTTCTTTATTTATAAATAAAAATATCACAAGTAAAATATATTGTATGTGACTCTAACAAGGCCTGGAATTAACTTGTATAGATAATGCAGTAGAATTGTGATGAGTTGCCAGTAGTATTTCACCAATATCACGTAGATGTCGCTTCAGCTACAAGATTTCCAAATTTTCCTATCTAACATCAGAGTAGAATTTCAAAAGTTCCTCTGGTTTCTGGCTCCAAGAATTATAGCATGCTTGGAGTTTCTGCCAGGCTCTTTGATAATTTTCTGAGGCCATCTTCCAGTCAAAATAACTGGCATTTGGTTTTAAAGCACTGAAAAAATAGAGATTGCCTTAAAGGTGTTTGAAGACAGATTTGAAGCCAGTATTTTTTCTTCAAATTTTTGGTATAATAGCACGACTTGTGTGTTGCTGTAGAATTTCACACAGAAGTATAATAGAAAACTTATTACAGTGTACATTGTATATGGAAATTATTGAAACTGCAAATTTCAAGACATTTAATCGACACTTTCATGCATCAAACTTGATCCTTAATATTTAAGAACATTAGAAATTTTCTTATGTATTAATGAAATATATTAAAGCTATAATCCAGAAAAGTGAGAAAACAAAACCAGCTCACCAGTGTTGCCAGTCTGTGCTCAGTGATATGTGCAGAGTTTAACAAATTGAACACACCTTGTGAAATGTAGACATTAACAATAATGGAGCTCACTCCCTAATTACAAACAGAGTTTATGTTTTATGGATGTATTCAATTTGTTAAACTCGGCACACATCACTGAGCAAGGATTAACAATACTAGAGAGGTGGTTTTGCTTTCTGACATTTCTACTCTTTATTTTATGGATTATAGTTTAGTATTTTTCATGAAAACACAACAAAAGAACGATTATTAGCATTTATGCGTAATGTTCAATCCAGTTCATTAATTTAAATAAATATTTTTAAAAGGACAACATTACTACTTTTCTTAAGTATTAAAGATAAAATTTACTTTGTGAAAATGCAAACATGTATCAATCAAACACGTCCCAGAATTAACAGTTTCAATAATTTCCAGATGAAATAAGATTTTTTTTATATTTCCATGTGAAATGGCATGGAAACATGCCATAATATTATACCAAAAATTTGAGAAAATATGAACTTCAAATCTGTATCCAAGCACTTTTAAGCACATGATCTGGTCAGTATGCAATCTGGGCATCATGCTGACATCTAATTTGATGTACAATTGCTGCCTGTGGTCTACTATGGGATCATTAATGGGGTTCAATTTTTGTGGGCACCACTTTATACCCATAATTTTATCATCTCACTGAATATTGATGTACATGTACAGGCTACATGTATATATGTAACCACAAAATTTCATCCTTTGAAACACTTTATATTTTTTCCACAAAAAAAAAACCCATAAAAGAAAATAATTCAACAATTTAAGCACGGTAAAATAGGCTCAATGATCATACATGTAGGTTCTTTTCTGGTATCTTGTTTTTGGAAGAAAGGTTTTACATGAAAATCTTGATGGTCAGTGTATGCAGCAGAAAAGAAGTTACCTATTTTCAATGTGAGGCAGATTCTGTATCTCAACAGATTTCAGAAGTCTGACAAAACAGTTGAACAACTCTCTGCTACAGATCCTGCTCCTGAAAGAAGGATATGGAGATAACGAACAGTATTCATCTCAAAGACCATAACATATTAACACAAAATAAGAGCAGAGCAAACACAGACCCCCAAAACATCAGAGGTGGGATCAGGTGCCATGGAAGAGTGAGCATCCCCTGCCGACCAGTCACACTCGCTGTGTGCTCCTTGTCATGATCAGGAAATAACGGACAAGAGGCCCATGGGCCACATCGCTCACCTGAGCACTGTGGCTAGGAAAAAGTAGGAAATTGGTTTATTATTGAAAAGTTTTAATCCAAAAGAAGTCCCATGACCAATCATGGCTTTACTATTCTTGAGAAGATGATTTTTAAAGAATTTTTCTATGTATTTCTATGGGGGTCATGATTTGAACAAACTTGAATCTACACTACCTGGGGATGCTTCCATATAAATATGACCAATCATGGCTTTGTATTTCTTGAGAAGAAGATTTTTCAAGAATTTTCCTATATATTTCTATGTAAAACTTTGGTCGGCCATTGTAGCCCCGCCCTATCCTCGGGGGTCATGATTTGAACAAACTTGAATCTACACAACCTGGGGATGCTTCCATATGAATATGACCAATCATGGCATTGTTATTCTTGAGAAGAAGATTTTTCAAGAATTTTCCTATATATTTCTATGTAAAACTTTGGTCGGCCATTGTGGCCCCGCCCTACCCCGGGGGTCATGATTTGAACAAACTTGTATCTACACTACCTGAGAATGCTTCCATATAAAGATGACCAATCATGGCTTTGTGTTTCTTGAGAAGAAGATTTTTCAAGAATTTTCCTATATATTTCTATGTAAAACTTTGGTCGGCCATTGTGGCCCCGCCCAATCCCCGGGGGTCATGATTTGAACAAACTTGAATATACACTACCTGAGGATGATTCCACATGAGTTTCATCTTTCCTGGCCCAGTGGTTCTTGAGAAGATTTTTTAAAAATGCCAATAATTTTTCACTAATTCATAATTATCTCCCCTTGGAAAAGGGCGTGGCCCTTCATTTGAACAAATTTGAATTCCCTTCACCCAAGGATGCTTTGTGGCAAGTTTGGTTGAAATTGGCCCAGCGGTTCTTGAAAGAAGTCGAAAATGTGAAAAGTTTACCGACACATGATACGGACAGCTAGACAGACAGACAGACGGACGCCGGACAAAATGTGATCAGAAAAGCTCACTTGAGCCTTCGGCTCAGGTGAGCTAAAAAAATCCGTCGTCAATTCATTGTATAGATAATAGACTAACAATTGGTATGAAAAACATCAGTCAGCATTTGACTCAATGATAAATTGTATTTGCTGACAAGGTCATTGTATCGACCATAGAACTTAGAAATGATGACTTTAAACAAGACTGCTGATATTCTTGTTTCATCAACTTGCTTGTCAATAATTTACCTCGTTTTAGAAATTGTTCATACGTAGAGCATGCTCTTGTGTATCGAATCAACTGAGATATATATACTCCGTATGCAGGTGATGAAGGTATATTGCTGCATAAGTAAGGGAAGTTGACGAAAGAAAAGTTAAAGTCATCACGTTTATCATATAGCTTGGTTGTTAGATTACCATTAGTGTCTTTTTCAAGTAAAATATCCAAGTATGAAGCAGAAGTGTCGGACTCTGTGGTATCTTTTATCTCAAGCTCACCAGGATATACTGTATCAACGTAGGAATGGAAATTATCTTTATTAATTGACAATACGTCGTCGATATATCTAAATGTCGAGTTGAAGGCCACAGCAAGTGTTTTCTTGTTTTCACGCACAAGATTTTGCATAAATATAAATTCTGCTTCATATGAATATAAAAATAAGTCTGCTAATAACGGAGTGCAATTTGTACCCATGGGAATTCCAACAGATTGTTGGAATACCTGGTCTCCAAAAACCACATATATATTGTCAATAAGAAACTCAAGCATCTTCTTGATGTCAACTTCAATGAAACAAATGAATTGTATGAAAGAATTACTCTTCAGAATAAACTCAAGCTTATTTGACACATGGTGGACACAATGCAGCATTCCTTAAGTTTATACAGTACCTTGCTTTCACTGGATCTTTTAGACAGTCCTTTTTGGTGAGACCTTGTGGTTTGCCCTCATTGATAACTTCAGGTGTTTCCATGGAATCCCACCATATAATAGCTACAAACAACAATGTCCAATGAAGAACGATCTGATTTACATTTTTTCTCTCAGCTTTGTGAATATGGTTTTCCATCTCAAAAGGTAAAAAATACTGTAAACATTTGGCTGTGTATTCTTTTTAGCACCACTGGTGGAAAAAATTTTGCTAATTCAAGTACCGGTATGCTAAATGTCTTGCACATACAAGTTAGAATATAAAGAAATGTGTGAAATTGAGTCTAGGCTTATTTGATCAAAAATCAATATCTGCCAAATATCGTACATGCTAAATATAATACATTTACAGTAACATCTTAATACAAATACATTAAACCAGGATTCCAGGTTATTTCCCCTGTCTTTCAATTCAAACACATTTAATATTGAGGCATTAAGGGTTACTTGAGTTTAAAGAAATTAAAAACTTTGTGACAAAGCATTGAGGTTTTTTTTATACAGTAAAACGCGTTTAGTCTATTGCAAATTTATAACACATATAAATTTATCCATATTGAGGCAAATAAAATGAATTCGGACATAGCAAAGTAATTTCATAGGTCACAGTGACTTTGTTATAACCGAGTTTTACTGTATATACAGACCTGCTGAAGAGGGAACCACTTTTCCTTTTGACTGTTTGTCTACACAAGCTTTCCCATCACTAAACACTTTATCTGACTGTAGGATGGCTGGTCGTGTGACATGAAATCCCTCTGGCAGGTCTTTAATGCCCTCCGATCTTTCTATTACTGCCCTTGTTATTGCTTTTTGGTTGAATGGACACCTGTCAAAAAATTATGAACTTTTCCTTGTCATAAAATCTAGTTTGATATTCAACAAAATTTTAGTTTCAAGTTATTGGATTTTTGCAAATACATGTAACTATATCTATATGACTTACTTATACAATCTTCTCTTCTTGCAAAAAAATGAAGTGATTTTTTTTACCTGCCAATGATGATAGAGGAGAAATACACTGGCTTCTGAAGAAAATGACAGAGTAATGCCCCTTGACATCCCAGGACATTCCACCTGGCTATTTTGTCACTGCAGCTCATGGACAGAGTTCTCTCCCCTCTGCCAGGCTTAATTCTAAAGAGACCCACAGAGTGGTATTCTGACCCCACCCCAAGTGGATCCTCCCCTCCCCCTGCAACAGGCTTTGCTCCTGTCCTATAAATATCTTGCAGTCTATTTTGGATTTGGTTATCTCCCTTTGAGCTGCTCTGATTGTCCTGAAATTTTTCATTACACTCTAAGATGTCTTTACACTGAGATGGCAAATTCTGCTTTAGAGATCCTGATCTAATAAAATGCCCAGAATTCTGGTCACACTGTTTTATGCTTTCTGATTGGACAGGATGCTTGGATGACTGAGATCCCTCCTTCTGGTTTCCTTGGACAGAATGTTCTGAAGATGTGTCACTTTTATCTCCACAATAAAAACTACAGGACTGAATTTTTATTTCATCTTCGTTAATATTTGAATTTTTCTGATCCTTGTCTCCAACATTCTCTAAATAACTGGCTTTAATGTCCCCAGCTGCTGAGTCCCTGCTTTTACAGTGTGAACTGCTATCTGAGTTGTCTACTTTAGGACATTTGGCCATGCTGTCACTCTCTGTATCCAGTTTCCTCTTCCTACCATACTGCCAACAAAATGAATCCCAGTCAACTTCCTCTTTCCCAGACAATTCATCTTTGGGGAAAATTGAAGCATCACCGCCTGAAAGAAACTCTCATTACCAAATATTACAAAGCTCATCTCGACATATTTTGTCTGAGGTAAGGCAAAGATTCAAAGCACTCAAATATTCAGGTAGTGTGCATTCAAATATAAAACAGCTTTACAAGTTTGGTCCAAGTAGAACATATAAATACTTGAAAATGGACCTGCTTCAAAATCTTTAACTGTTTGATCATTCTGTAAATGTAAATCGGGTCCAACTTCCAAATCTGGTTTTATGCACCCCAAGGAATCACCAGATCAAGTTTCATATAGCTTATAGTGTCTTGGGAAAGGACCAGCTCTGTTTCATTACTCTGAAAAATGGAGGTCATATCCAGCAAGTCTGCAATGTGCATCCTTAAGATGCATTATCAAAGCAAGTTTGATCATGGTAGGGTTTACAGTTACTTGAGAGTAAACCTGTTCCAATGAATGCTAGATCAGATCCAGCTTCCAAAGCAAGTCTGGTACTGTGCATCCTTAAATGCATCATCCAAGCAAGTTTGATCTAGGAAGGCTTACCTAAGAATGAAACTACATGTACTTAAAAAGCTTTATCTGGTCACTTATCCAGAAAATGTTGGTCCAGATAGGGCTTGGTTACTTGGGAATCATGAGACCTGCTTCTAAAACTTAAGCCTGGTCTCTGAAAGCAAATCTGGTAGTGTCCATTCCATTAAGTATGATCCTTGAAAGTTAGGTTGCAGGCATCATTGGAACCCATGGGTACAATTACATGTGTACATTCAATGTTGAATGCAGTTTAACAAAGAGAAAACCCATGGTTTCCAATGCTGGGTCCAAGAAGGCCTTCTAGTTACTTGGAAACGAGACCTGCTCTTAAAATTTTAACTAGGATGACAACACAGATGCTGAATCTGGGGGTACAGCATAAATCCTTCTCGACTTCGCTGAGGTGAGCTAAAAGACCATCGTGATTTACTACTGGGGTAGATACATGTATAGTCTATTATTTTCAGTGCTTCAGTTTAAAACAAGTTGCCTTGTTAATTTTCAACATTCTTCGAAATAATAAATCAGTTTAAAAAATCAGATAGCTTCAAAAATAGATATGTCAAGCTTCAGCTAGTTTTGCTTTACTTCAAGGAAATATATTTACATGGGGTGTGGCTGGAGAAGAGATGGAAATGGACACCCGATTTAAGTCCACACTTGTTGGAAGTCATGTCCGGAGCTGTAAAAATATCACTCTTTCTCCCACTGTAGGCTTCTGTCAGCTCAGCATATAAATATCTAGAAGAAAAATGTTTCTTTCTATTCTTTTAATCATCCTTTTGAGAATATCATTTGCTAAGCTCAAACTGTGCATTCAAAATGATACCTCAGAAAGGCTCTCCGTGCCAGTATTTCTCCATGGCTGTCATTTACTGTATCACCTAGAAAAAGAGAGATTCTGACATTTTAAGTGTATCATTGCTGATATATAAATTTGAATTAATTTTAATTCTAGTTTCTAACTCAATTTTATACAGAACTACTGGTGAATGTTAAAAAGAATAGTAAGAATTGAATGTCATTCATTCAATAACAAGGTCGAACAAGACAATTGGCATTCCTTTTTATCATTATTTCAGTTAAAAACTATTTCATTAGGTGATCAATTGATAATGTGTCTGACAAAAAGATTCACACAGAATGCATTCGATAAAAGAAAAGTTAATGCAGAGAGATTAAACATGAGGCCCATGGGCCACATCGCTCACCTGAGTAGTTTTGACCATGCTGTTCTTTACTAGATTTCCCCTTGTAATACCTATTGTGACCCCATCCTTCCCCGTGGGGCATAATTTGGACAAATTAAAATCTACACAACCCCAGGATGCTTTCACATAAGTTTCAGATTTTCTGGCCCAGTAGTTCTTGAGATTTTTTTTTTAAAATCGGATATATTTCAATGCAAAACTTGGATTCCCTATTGTGCCCCCGTCCTACCCCTGGGGATCATGATTTGAACAATTTAGAATCTACACTACCCAAGGATGCTTCAACATAAGTTTCAGCTTTTCTGGCCCAGTGGTTCTTGAGAAGAAGCTTTTTTAATGACCCCATCCTATTTTTGTCTTTTCTTGATTATCTCCCCTTGTAAAGGAACTTGGCCCTTCAATTCAAGAATTTAAACTCCCCTTCACCAAAGGATGCTTTGTATCAAGTTTGGTTACAATTGACCTAGTGGGTCTTGAGAAGAAGTAGAAAATATTAAAAGTTTACGGAAAGACGGACGGCAGACAAAATGTGATCATGCAGAAAAGCTCACTTGGAGCTAAAATAAACTCTACTCCTAAGTTCAGAGTTGTCTGTGCAGACTTTTTTTTATTTGTTTTATAACAATAACATTTCATTGAGACTTACTTTTTAACCTGTAATTAGCACTTAAACTTTTATAACTTATTACTTAAGTTAAACTTTTTACTTACCATTAGGGCTTAGTTTACTCTTCCCAATGCACTTTGTCCCTGTACCAAGGGAGACAACTCTCATTTCTTTATTTTCTAAATGAAAAAATCATACATCAGTATAACCAGTATGTGTAAACAATCCCATATGCGGTATTTTTTTCCCTATTTTTTAGCTCAAGTGGTCAGAGACCGGAAGAGCTTAAGCAATAGTAAAGTGTCTGTCCGTCTGTCTGTAAACAATTTTTCAAAATGCTACTCCTACAGTTTTGGTCTGGTTTTAATATAAAGATGCAAAGAAGCAGAGTACATTTTTTTATTTATTAAATATAGGTCTAAATATAGAAGGCTATGTAAACATGAAGAAAAATTATACAAACAAAAAATTTGTCTTGAAATTAACAACAATCTTGATACAAATCCCAAAACATTTTGGAAAATGTTAAACAAACTAGATAAAATGCAGAATATGCATAACAACCCTCCTGATCTTCCCTGTGAAATATTTTACCAGTACTTCAAAACACTGAATACTGCAAATAGCAATCAGAATGATTTCCACAAATTCATTACGGAACAGTTTAATGTTTTAAAACAGAAACTAGAGAATGATGTTAGTCCCCCTATCACAACTCACGAAATAATGAATGCCATAAAAAATCTAAAGCAAGGTAAAAGTACATCCATGGATCTTATTTCAAATGAAATGCTAAAACATGGAGGCAGTATATTACTGAAACCACTACAAAAACTGTTCAACTTTATTTTAAACTCGGGACAATTTCCTACTTTATGGAATGAAAGTATTCTGGTGCTCTTTAATCTGGTAACAAACTTGATCCCTGTAATTATAGAGGTATATCTATTACATCAAACTTGGGAAAGCTTTTCAATAGGATTATTCATTTCAGATTGCTAGATTTTATTAAGGACACATCACTTATTAGTGAAAATCAAATTGGTTTTAAAGAGAAAAGCAGAACATCAGATCATATTTTGACAATTAAGACTGTAACCGATTATTATAAAAACAGAAAGCAAAAGGTTTATGTGGCTTTCATTGATCTCCGTAAAGCCTTTGACACTATATGGAGGGTTGGACTTTATTATAAACTTCTGAAATCCAATATACACACCAATTTGTTCAATATTATATTTTCAATGTATGAAAATACAAAAACTAAGATTAAGTTTACTAATGGTCTCAGTAAAAACATTCACATCTGAATGTGGTGTTAAGCAAGGCGATATTTTAAGCCCATCTCTTTTTAACATTTTTAGGTCACCTGAGTAAACTCAGGTGACCTATTGCTATCCGTTTTCGTCCGTCGTCGTTCGTCGTCCGTCGTTCGTCGTGCGTCAACATTTAAACATTTTCAGCTTCTTCTCTGAAACCGCTGAACCAATTTCAACAAATTTTGGCATAAAGCATCTATGGGTAAAGGGGAACAAAAATTGTGAATTTCGTGGTCCCTGCCCCCCTGGGGCCTGGGGGGTGGGGCAAAAACCACTAAAATTAGTGCAATCTTTAAAAATCTTCTTCTTTACTCCTGGACATCAAGCAGTCAAACTGTTGGTATGATTGTAATCAGCATTGAGTCCTCTACCAAAATTGTGAAATTCATGGCCCCTGGGTCAGGGGTTCTGGTGTTAGGGTGGGGCTCTATTGATTATAAAGTGAAAATGCATTATTTCTTTGAAAATCTTCTTCTCTGTTCCTGAGTATTAAATAAACTAATTTAGTGCATAATTATGATGAGCAAGAGTGTCTCTACATAAATTGTGAATTTTATTGCCCCAGGGTCAGGGGTTATGGTGTTAGGGCGGGGCTGTATTGATTATATAGTGAAAATGCATTATTTCTTTGAAAATCTTCTTCTCTGTTCCTGAGTATTAAATAAACTAATTAAGTGCATAATTATGATGAGCAAGAGTGTCTCTACATAAATTGTGAATTTTTTGGCCCCAGGGTCAGGGGTTATGATGTTAGGGTGGGGCTGTATTGATTATATAGTGAAAATGCATTAAATCTTTGAAAATCTTCTTCTCTGCTCCTAGGTATTAAATAAACTAATTAAGTACATAGTTATTATGAGCAAGAGTGCCTCTACCAAAATTGTGAATTTTTTGGCCCCAGGGTCAGGGGTTATGGTGTTAGGGCGGGGCTGTATTGATTATATAGTGAAAATGCATTAAATCTTTGAAAATCTTCTTCTCTGCTTCTGAGTATTAAATAAACTAATTAAGTACATAGTTATGATGAGCAAGAGTGTCTCTACATAAATTATGAATTTTATTGCCCCAGGGTCAGGGGTTATGGTGTTAGGGCAGGGCTCTATTGATTATATAGTGAAAATGCATTACATCCATGAAAATCTTTTTCTCTACTTCTGGGTAATAAGCAGATGAACTATTTACATATTTATGATGGTCTCTTCTTCCAGAATTGTGAATTTTAAGGCCCCTGGGACTGGGATACCAAAATTTGGGGGGGGGGGCTCTACTTATATACTGAAAATGAATTGTTTGAAATATGCTCCTTGGTATAAATCAAACATTTTTGATAAGCGAGTGTGCCTTTTCAAAAATTGTGCAATGTGTAGACCTAGGGTCAGGGATTCATGTGTGGTAGGAGCACTCCTGATTATCGCTGAATATTACTGATTAGTTGACATACATTTTTGTTCCCCTACCCTGCTTATGGGTATTAAGTAAACAAACCAAACAATTGCTAAGTGTATAGTTATGATTAGCATTGGTGCCTCTTTCAAAATCGTGAATGCAATAGCATCTAGCTTAAAACATGAACCAAATTCAATCATTTGAAAGTTGTTGCATGATGCTCAGGTGACCTATAAGGCCCATGGGCCTCTTGTTATTAATGGTATTGTTGATGAACTTAAAACGGGCAATTGTGATCCTGTTAAAATTGGTGAAATCTCTGTAAATTGCTTATTATATGCTGATTATATTGTTTTATTTATATCTGAAAGTAAAACTGGGTTACAAAATTGTTTGAACATCCTTGAAACATATTGTTCTAACTGGAAATTACAGGTTAATGTGGAGAAGTCTAAAGTTCTTATTTTTAACTCAAATGGTAAATTTTGCATGAATGAGTTTACATATAATGGAAATGTCCTTCAAACAGTTTCAAAATTTTGTTATCTTGGATTAACTTTGAAATGCAATGGAAATCTAAACTTAGCAATGTCAGTACTTATGGAAAAGGCCAGAAAAGCATATTTTAAGATTAAGAAAACAATTGGTTTGGATAATCCATGTAAACTTTTGGAAAAACTTTTTGACTCAATTATAACACCAGTTCTTCTTTATTGCTCTGAGATCTGGGGTATTTATAATAACATTGGTGAAAATTCTATAATTGAAAAATTTCACATGAAGTTTATTAAGGAAATTTTAGGAGTACATTGTAAAACTACTAATGCTCCTTGCAGAGCAGATTTAGGTAGACAACCCCTGTGGACAAAAATACCGTTTTCAAGTATAAAATTTTGGAACCATCTTAATTATTACTTCCAAGAATACTTTAGCATTTAAAATCTATAAAACAACAGTCAAAACAAACTCATGGACTAAAAATTTTTTTCACTTTTCAACAAGTTAGGATTTTCATTCATTATTAAAAAAGAAAATTCAATAAAACCACTTCTGAGAAGCATAAAACAAAGAATATCAGATCAATGCATACAAGAGGAATATGCAAAGATTCATAATTCATCGAAACTAAAATTTTATCAAGTTGTTTTTAATAATTTCAAACGATGCGGATACACTGATATATTAAGAAAGAAAACAGACAGATCAATTATTAGCAGATTGAGACTTAGTGCTCATAACCTTGCCATAGAAAAAGGAAGCAGACTTCACGAAAACTTTTCAAACTAACTGGCCAGTCGGACCAGTAAACTTTCAAAATTTACTAGCCCACCAAAATTTTTACTGGCCCCTTACTTAAAAAATGAAATAAAAACATTTTCTTAACTGTAAATTTATACATGTTTACGTACTTCAACTTTTGTAATGACGCCATTTTTCGCCCTTTGTCATTGGAACTTTGCACATTTTACATACTAGTTAATAGTAAATAGCTAGTTCCGGTTGTTACGTAATAAATCCATGTTATAATAGGGTTATAATAATAATACGATTCAACAACAAATCCTTGTTCTTTTTATTTTATATATTAATGAAATTACGCAAGTAAGTCAGTTGATATAAATTTTGACTGTATATGATTTTTATAATCAACAAGCCCATCGGACTCCTTGAATTTTGATTTTCACTGACCCGACATCAAAATTTACTGGCCTCGGTCTCCGGACCAGTGAGTTTTCGTGAAAACTGAGGAAGACATTTTTCTATACCCATAGATAAAAGAATTTGTAATATATGTAACACAGGGGAGGTTGAAGATGAATTTCATTTTCTCTTCATCTGCCATAAATACAATAATCATAGGTTAACTTTTGAAAGGAATTTGATGAATTTTTTCCATGACATGATAAAATATTAAATATGTCTATTACTAATACTCAAAAAGTTAAACTTTGCTTTAATAGCCATTGTCCAGAAGTACTGAAAATAACAATTTTTTTTTTTAACTCATTTACACGGTATTAAAAAATGTATTACATCTAGAAATGACTGCATAACATAATTATTTTACAAATGATGTACAATTTATCTATGATTATGTATAGCCTTACATTTTATACCAGATTATTGTTTATATATAATGAACAATTGATGATGTGCCTTTGCCAATTATTGTAATTGTGTTTGTGCCAATAAATATTTGTATTTGTATTAAAGTCAAGGACCATTATTCCATTTGTTTGATGACCATCATGGATTTTATTTTTAGCTCACCTGAGCTGAAAGCTCAAGTGAGCTTTTCTGATCACATTTTGTCCAGCGTCCGTCTGTCTGTCCGTCTTTCTAGCTGTCCGTCTGTCCGTCTGTCTGTAAACTTTTCACATTTTCGACTTCTTCTCAAGAACCGCTGGGTCAATTTCAACCAAACTTGCCACAAAGTATCCTTGTGTAAAGGGGATTCAGGTTTGTTCAAATGAAGGGCCACGCCCTCATTCAAGGGGAGATAATTGGGAATTAAAGAAAATTTGGTGGCATATTTAAAATATCTTCTTCTCAAGAACCACTGTAACAGGAAAGATGAAACTTATGGGGAAACATCCTCAGGTAGTGTAGATTCAAGTTTGTTCAAATCATGACCCCCGGGGGTAGGGCGGGGCCAAAATGGCCGACCAAAGTTTTACTTAGAAATATATAGGTAAATTCTTTAAAAATCTTCTTCTCAAGAATGACAAAGCCATAATTCATCATATTTATATGGAAGCATGCTCAGGTAGTGTAGATTCAAGTTTGTTCAAATCATGACCCCCGGGGGTAGGGCGGGGCCAAAATGGCCGACCAAAGTTTTACATAGAAATACATAGGAAAATTCTTTAAAAATCTTCTTCTCAAGAATGACAAAGCCATAATTCATCATATTTATATGGAAGCATGTTCAGGTAGTGTAGATTCAAGTTTGTTCAAATCATGACCCCCAGGGGTAGGGCGGGGCCAAAATGGCCGACCAAAGTTTTACATAGAAATATATAGGTAAATTCTTTAAAAATCTTCTTCTCAAGAATGACAAAGCCATAATTCATCATATTTATATGGAAGCATGTTCAGGTAGTGTAGATTCAAGTTTGTTCAAATCATGACCCCTGGGGGTAGGGCGGGGCCACAATGGCCGACCAAAGTTTTACATAAAAATATATAGGAAAATTCTTTAAAAATCTTCTTCTCAAGAATGACAAAGCCATAATTCATCATATTTATATAGAAGCATGCTCAGGTAGTGTAGATTCAAATTTGTTCAAATCATGAACCCCGGGGGTAGGGCTAGGCCAAAATGGCCAACCAAAGTTTTTAAAGATATATATATAGGAAAATTCTTTAACAATCATTTTCTAAAAAATAGCAAATCCATGATTGGTCATGGGACTACTTTTGGATTTAAACTTTACAATGAAAAGCCATTTTGTACTTTTTCCTACCCTTAGTGCTCAGGTGAGCGATGTGGCCCATGGGCCTCTTGTTTAACTTTATATTGGGTATGTTGTGTTGTTTTTTCTTACTTGCTACACACTATATATGTTCAGGATTTGCCGTTTTGTTTTTTCTTACTTGTTATAACTATACAGGATAACAATGTCCATTCTTTTTCTTTCTGAGGCTTCCCTTTCTTTGGTAACGACTGATATTTCTTGTAACATAAATCAGCAATTTTGTCTGCAAAATTTTCATCGTATTCCATCTTCCTTATAAGTCAGTTAACCTCCATCATCTGTAAATTTAATCAATTTCCTCAACTCAATGTACATTTAGTAATAAATTTCTTAGCTGCAGAACTGTAGCATTATGGTATTATATATTATTCTTTGACTATACAGCTACAGATCAAGTACTTTGCAAATGTGGAGGTCAGCATAGTTCGATCGCCTGTGGCCAGATTGCTCAATTGGTAGATCACCTGACCTGAGATTCAGGGGGCCCGGGTTTGAATCCTGGTCTGGTCCACAGCATTTTTCTCATCTAACATATTACACAATACAGACCAATAAACTTGCTTGTTTTTCTTAAATTGTTTTCTGCCATCCAACAAACCAATGCAATATTAAAAAGAGTCATTAAGTTTATTGGTCTGTAACTTTAAAGTGTTGGGAGGCGGATAAAATAGACAGATTGATTTAAAAATGTGTCTACAGAATTAGGGAGTGAAAAGTAGTTGATTGACCAATGCTGGAAAGTGGTAAACTTTGCAGTCATGCCCAGAAAATCTTGCATCATAAATGCATATTATTACATAAGTAATAATTAGGCTCTGTACATAGCATATTATGGTCAAAGACTAATTTAACTTAAATGAATCTGCCCACTCCATATGCATCTATCGATACCCCCTCTGGTCCTTTCTAAAACACATTAATTGTATACATTCATACCACAGCCACTTCCTTCAGAAATAATTTTTTAACCCATACTATAAGATAGTGTCATCATTATTAAATATGTACTATGGGTTAAAAAATTATTTCTGAAAACAAGAGCCTGTGATGCATACGTTGAGTGTTACTATATTTCATCATTTGATATATTTTCACTTGTGACTACTAATGAACATGTTTATACCACAGGAGTTGGGAATTTTATTTGCAAGTTAGTCCATCATTAAAAATTATCATGTGGCTCATGATTAGCATTTCACTTTGAAATTACTTTTGTTTAACAACTTCGATAAAATTTTACAGTAATAATTAATTACTGTTTGAATCGTCCAGTAAACTTACTGTAAGGGTACCAATCTATGAACAGAAGCCGTCTTTACGGGAGAGATGGGTCTTTTTACAGTGACAACTGCTGATGAAAGCCAATATCGAGGAAATTCTGGATGCAACACTTTGTGCCAGAGTCAGGCATAGTAAGTCAGATAACTAGACCATTGTATTCATTATAAACATGTACAACTGTACCATATATTCCAACATCTTCTCGTTCTTTCATGGGCCAACAGTAAGACAGAATAGAATTTGATGTCTTGAATGTGCACGTCTACATGATGTTTACATAAAAACAGAAGATGGCTTTAAAGGGAGAAAACTGCGTTTGATTTAATAGAAACTCCAGAAACTAAATTTTATCTTTATATTTATTTATTCATGTTCATATTATCCCCATAATAAAACACACAAAATGCACGCCAAATATATGATTATCAAATTACCACTGTTTGATTACAATTCAAGATAAAAAGAATTTGATCTCAAATAATGCTGTCATTTTAATTTGATAAATTAATAAAATGTTACTATTCTGTACCAGTGAAAAAAGACAAGATTGTAATGTAATTTGTTACAGATGGTAAGCTTGTTTATTTTATCAGAGCATTTTCAAACATTAAGAGTGATAAAAAGAAAATAATCAACATAAAACACTACATGTGGATCGAAGTAACACCAACTCAGTGCAGCAAAGTCACTTTGAATGTTTAATCCTAATTTTCATTTTATAAAATAAATGTTACAGCATATATGTATATCACAGACACAAATAATAAGTAATGTAAACTAGATCAGAATTACCGTATTAATCAGTAAATAAAAGAGAGGTCTGTAGTTTTATTTAATAATTATAAAATTACACGTATTTTCGTTAAAATTTCATAAGATCCAAATCAACCCCCCTTTTTATTTATACATACAGCATGACTTTTTAAAACTTTTTTTCAGTGACCACAATTACTCTCAAGTTTCATACTGACAATATTAAAAAAAGGGAAATTATGCCATTTAATTTGAAAAAAAAAAATCAATTTAAATTTACGCAGAAATTAAATCACATATGCCCAATAAAATGTTCGAACATTGAATGAATGTCAAAATACAAAAATTCTGTTTTGTTGTATTGATTGGTATTTTGAATAAAGCTGTATGTAAATACCTGTATTTACAATATTATACAACCTGATACTTAGTAACACAATGCTGAAAAACTTTCAATTCATCATGTTTTGATTGAAGACAGTAATACATGTAATAATCGATCACATTTTTAAATAATTATCTGCCTACTACTTACTGTTGGAATTAAAATCAAATATATATTGCAAATTTGAATTTTTTTTTAAAAAAACGAAAAACCAGATTAATTAAATATCTGCTGAATAAAAAAGTTTCAATTAAATACAAGCCACTGACATTACATTTATATTTGTGAAATAATTAGCATATTTTTATATAGGGATGTGCGATTTTATGGTATACCGGTATATCATTTTATGTTGTATACGTATCGTGATACTATACACCGGTATTTAGGTACATGTTTTAAAGTCCAGAAATTATTCATTTATTTGTTCAGTCTTTCAAATTACAGTTACAGAAAGTCTTAAAAAAATGTTGTTAAAAGTAACACAATGCTGAAAAACTTTCAATTCATCATATATATTTTGATTGAAGACAGTAATACATGTAATAATCAATCACATTTTTTAATACTGCCTACTACTTACTGTTGGAATTGAAATCTAAATACACATTGCAAATTTGAAATCTTTTTTTTTTTAAATGGAAAACCAGATTAATTAAATATCTTTTATTTGCATAAAAATTTCAAAAAAGTGAAATTTTGTTTTTCAAGCATATTTTTAAGAAAAATAATGACTATTCATTTAAAACCATTGTAAAAGTTGCTTGTAAAAATATCATTACATTTATATTTGTGAAATAATTAGCATATTTTTATATCATACTTGTAAACTGATGTAAATGTATAATGAAATGAAAAAAAAAATTAAATAGAGAACAATGTCATGATGGAAAATTTTGCTGATGTATCAAGAGTTCACATTCCAAACGTATTCTCTCCACTGTATGCGATATATAGAAAACCATCTTCATCCTTATGTTCCTCATACACCTGACCCATACTTGCACTGAAAAAAAAGGAAAATATCTTGTCAATTGGATATACATGTACTTTGAAAAAAAATCTATATGTAACAAGAGATGTTTGTAAAGCACTTATCCCCCCCTCCCCCAAATAATTGAATTTTTTCTTAGTCCAAGGGGCATAACTCTGTCCCAACTTGTTCAATCTTACATGATACAGATCTTGACCTAGATATTCATATGATAAATTTGTATACCAAATTTCATTTCATTATGTGCATTTGCTGCGAAGAAAATGAACGGAAACTGCAAATAATTGGAATTTTTCTAAGTCCAAGGGGCATAACTCTGTCAAAAATGGCTCAATCTTACTAAAAACAAAACTTGACCTAGATATTCTTATGATAAATCTGTATATCGAATTTTATTTGTGAGGAAAATGAACAGAAACTTGGTGGACTGACAGACAGCAGCTAAGCATTTTGCCATCCCTTCTTGGAAGGCAGGCATAAAAAAAAAGATTTGGAGAAATAATATTTTTAGATATTTATTACTTTTGTATTCATACGAGATGTCTGTGGTTCTCTCATCCTCGCAATGCCAGGGGTTCCGAGTCAACACTTTGCTATTGGACTCCTGGCATATTTCGCTCAAAATTTATGGGCTGACTGAAGCGACATCTTTCGGAAAAATTACAAAATGTTGATTGTTTTTCTTATCTCTCAACCAACTGCATTAATTTGATTGGTGCCTTTCAATGAGAAATGCAAGCCATAAAATATCTAATTAAATATGCCAGGTGTCAACAGAAACCTGTTGACTCAGGACCCCGGGCATTGCCAGGATGTGGTTCTCTTTTGTCAGTACCGATATTTTACAACTTTTTACTTAAACTATTACACATCTATTGGTATTAACAATTTTGTATTTTTTTTTTTTTTATTCAATAAATATCTGGCTCCAAGGCCATAAAATTTGCACAAGCTCACTTCTGATCTCAATCTCACTTTCCCATTATATATATTCCTTTTGTGAAAGTGAGACTGAGATCAAAAGTGAGTTCGTCTAAGTGTTATGGCCCTGGGGCTTGCTTTGTTACTGTGCGTACCTGGACTGGGGTAAGACCTTGCCTACAAACAGAAATATAGCTTTCTCCGAGGGCAGCTGAATCCTCTTTCTAATAATCCACATAAACTGAGCCACAGAGATATCATTGGGAACCAAAAACTTCCGCTTATCTATGTCCTGAATCTGAGATTTTGGATCTTTCTCTACGATGACCTAATTACAAGAGACAATATAATATGTTACATTTTAGGTTCAGGTTAAAAAGAACTCTGGAAGTTTATTAAACTTGAAGATAAAATTATATTCAACATGGACACTCTACGTTATACATACAACACCAACTTCACCTATTCATGAAAATAAATTTATAAATTGAACTCTATTATCTACGAATAAAGTCTGGCTTATTACTCTTTCTAAATTGAGGAATGCATGTATGACCTTTTTTAAAACGTAGGTAATCAAAGATTACGAAATGTTATCAGTTTAAGTAATGCAAATCTCAGTCACATCATATTTTCTTTATAATTAATATGTATCCTGACAACAATATTTAAGCAAGTTATGGTTAATTAGGTCTTATAGTACATTGGGAGTTGACCTGTTCCAAAATCACTAATCAAGAAAATGTCTTTTTTCCCCCCTACATCCAAAGCAAGTCTGCATTTCTCAATCCCTAGATGCATCATCCATGAATTGGCAATAATGCAAGTTAAATCATAACAGGCCATAAAATTACAGAGTTACTCTAAAAACATTGAGCCTAATCACTCATCTGGAAAATGTAAGTCAGATCCAGCATCTGGAACAAGTCTGGTAGTGTCCATCCCTAGATGCATCTTCCATGCAGGTTTAGCCAAGTAGGTCTTATAGTAACTTAATTGGGAATAGACCTGCTCCAAAAACTTTAACCTGGTCAATCATCTGGAAAATGTAGGTCAGATCCAGCACCTGGAACAAGTCTGGTAGTGTCCTTCCCTAGAATAGCTAGATGCATCATCCATGCAAGTTTGGTTCAGGTTTGGCTTATAGTTACTTATGAATGGACCTACTCCAAAAACTTTAACCTGGACACTGACACTGGGGTATAGCATAAGCTCATCTAGACTTCGTTGAGGTGAGCTAAAAATAAAAATCAAGTAGTGCATTTCTAATTTTGTGTTCAATAAAAAAAATAAGTAATAGTCTTAAATAATTACAGGAATTCTTTCTGGGTATTTGTCTCTGATCTTTGTTGATTCTGCCTGTCTCTGCTCTACAAAAATAAAAAAAATTAAATAATTAAATTCACCTTTTGCACAAAGAACAAATGGAAAAATAATTTCAGGTTGCACTAAACCAGTACCAATTAATCCTTAATTCAGAATGCTGCAGAAGATTTCTCTTTTTTACTTATTAATTTTTTTTGTTTATTTGTCTTTTCGTTTATTTAAAAATTTAATTAACTGTGCAGTTTAATCTTAGGGTTGAAAAGGTATACACCTCTATCCACAGAAACGAAAGATATGGAACAGCTTAGTAATTAAATGTACCAGCTGTACTTGACTACTTGTTAATAGGATTGTAATATGTATGCATATTATTTATCACAACATATACATCATCTTGATCATGACACCTGATTATACAATCAGACACTGTACACATCACTGCACTGTTAACACGAAGCAAATTACACTTACATAACATAAGAAGTATATATACAAACATTACATCCTACATCATAAGAATGTCTATTTGTGGATCAGTCATGTCAACTGCCTTAATTAATATAATCCAAATCAGGCCCCATGTAGTGTCTTAATGTAATTTAACAGTTTGGTTAATGGTTAATCCATGTATGAGGTGCAAACATAAGTTTAGACACAATTGCCTTAATTTTCAATTATTCTGTTGTAAAAGTGTTACATAATTTCCCATGTTTTAAAACTTTAAAAAAAAAGTAAGATTGTAATAAATGCAATAAATGTCAAAATAACACTGCCTGCAAATTAGTTTTCTTTCACTTTTAACACATAATCACATAAGTATAACTAGGGTAGTTTTAAATTTAATTTACAAAAATATGAAATAGCATTTAGTTCATATTTTTGATTGTATACAATAAAATGATCCTATTTTACTTATTTACAGTATTATATATAACAAAATGTACATGTACCGTAACTATATTGCCTGTATAGCTTTAATATAATGCTATTCAGTATCCAATTTACATAAATACTTTTTAAAAACATTATAAACAACTCAATTTTCTCTCTTCTTTATAAAATTCACTGAATTTTTTTTAATTAACTCAGTATGTTACATTAAGAGTTCTTTCTACGAAATTCCTAGTAACACAGCTTTCTTTAACCTTCGAAAGAAAATTCTAATACAATGCGAAACATCACATTAGAATACCCTTTTCCAATTATAACATCATTTCCATCGTCCATGGAAATATTTTGTTTCAAAAACTTTTGGTACAAATTGCTTCTTAATGTAACAATATAGTGATATATTCTTTTAAACAATATATTGTCAAAGAAGACATGATTCACAATGGTAACGATCAGATGAATATTAACCAATTGCTTATGATAAAAGGCCAATCAGGGCAAAGACCTACAAAAAGATAAGTGTCTCAAAACAAACCAAAACAAGGCCAGTAATTCACGAATTAAAAGGTCTTATATCCCCATACAAACGAAAAATCAAAGATATATCATATTACCAAAAGTATGCTCTTCTCTAAACTTGAACTTCATCTTCTTTCTTCAAGACTTTGTTGTTGTAAAAATGTAAACAACGACAGGTGACTTCTTATTCTGTCAGACTATGGAGTCAACTTCCTTTATGACGTCATAGTTGTCATGACTAAAAACGGAAAAGATTGCGAAAGGATAGAGAAAGACGAGAAAGAGAGAGAAAAGAGCAAAAAGAAATGAAATAATAGATATAAATAGTATTTTGGACTACAAATTGTTTTCTCTAATGATAAATAAATATATTTAAAAAGTACATACTTATAACATTTCAAAAAGAAACTTTAATGTAAGATAAGATAATTTTATTTCCCAATTTTGGACCCAGAAGGCATAAAGGTTTTTTTTACAATGACAAGATAGAAAGTTCTGAAAGAAAGGTTAGTAAACATATATAAACATAAACACACACGCATGTAGATATCTGATATAATATATACAAGTTACTGTACATGTAGATGCAGCAGTTGGGGTTATCAAATCAAATAAATATATTTATTTATATCTTGATTTTAGAATTCTTCACTATTAATCCATAATATGTATATTAAAAAAAATTAATATTTTTTATTGATTAATTTGTTGTTAAAGTAATAGCTGGATAATTTGTAAAATATATTAATTTCTACTATAAATTTTTGAACAAACCTCTCTTTTGATGTAATTAGCACTATCTACCACGACTTGCAAACGAAAAAGAAAATGGCGACTGACTATCAAAATGGGAAGTTAAGGTATTGAATTTTCTCTATATATTTGAAAAATCTGTGTACATGAGTATCTCTGTCGATTTTTCAACTTTGTAGTAACTTAATTCATTGTTCAAGTGTGGTACAATATTCCAATGATTTAAAAAAAAAAAACAGGTGTAGGAAACGAAAATATTTGAGTATACTTTATTTGTCTTAGTATCATGCCTGTAGTCCTTTCTATTTCACTATCATCAGCTTATATCTAGATTTTTTACTTGACCAATATGAAGATCAATTCTCCCCCAAATGAAGTAAAAAAAAAAAGCCAAAAGACCCATTTAACGACGTTCGATCCTGATATTTAAAGTCTTAAACTTTTTTTGCCAAGTATATTTTTAGTTTCTACATACATAGCTAAATTAAAATTCAAATCAAAAAATGGGGGTCAATACGCTTCTTTTTGGCGCTACAGTCCATTTAATATGACCTCTTTGCACTGAAATTTGTGTCTTAATTAAAAATTAAATTTTGGACGTTTTCCCTCCAATATTTTTATCCGATTACTAGCAATGCCCAAGCAAGGGGGAGATAACTTTCCAAATTTCCTCAGCCTCGTTTTGATTCCGTATCAAAAAAGAGCTTGAAAAGTACGGCTTAATACACTACTTTCCCTCGTGTTTTCAAACGTTTTGATGACCTTTCTATGAAGTTTGAGATGCCCCCTAGCATTACCAACCCTGAATGTTTGAAGTATGGCGCGATTAGTCGTTTTAAAAATAGATTGAAAAATTAAAAAATCTCTAATTTTCATATACGGACGAGTACTGTGTCAAAACATGCAAAAATAACTTCTTCTGATATACAGCTACAAATGCATATCACTTACAGGCAAGTATTTAACCGTTCTTGTTCGCCACACGAATTTTCTAAGGTCTACTGGAGCAAATTCGGATTGTAGCAGCCAGCCCACACGTGTGTAGAAAAAATGTATACAACGTGAATTGAACGTCTGATGGTCTGTTTACTTCATTGTCAAACTGATACAATGTTATATTCTTGTTTGTGAACTATGCTGAAGCAATTTAATAATGACATTCCGTTCAAAGGCTATTTCGTGCGCGAAAACGAAAGTAGGGTTCATCTCAAAGTGAACAAGAATAAATTTCAAAATTGAACTTACTTTGGTGAAGAAAACAGTGAAAGTCAAATGAAAACTTCATTAATAATCATACTTTGATTTTTATTGATAAGTTTATTTCTTTAAATGACAACACAGCATACGAACAATGAGACATAAGCTATTCTGTATAAATAAATAAAACAAAGGAAGACAACTCTTGCATTTCACATTCTGTGTCATATTTTCTTCTGTGTCTCAACAGTGGCTCGAGAAAATTATGAAATTTCAGATAAAATTAACAAACTGGTACATCGGTTATATTCTAAAATTGTTTTGATATAATATTCTTGTATTATCTGCTTTGAATCTGCTGATGTACACTTTCTAATCATTTTCCTTGGAAAGATGGATAACTCTGTAAGAATTCTGCATTTTTTAAACATTCATAAAAAGCTCAGTTTTCACCCGATTTAAGAAATGATTTCTGATATGGAATCAGTGGGTCATACTTTACACAATGGACATAAAAAACTGACAATTTTTTGACTCTTAAAAAATCATTGGGCATTGCTACGATTACAGCATGAAATAAAATGAACTCTAAGTTTGTTTAAAAAAAGACACTTAAAAATTGTGACTAAGAAAAAGTTTTTAAATTGCTTTGCATAATCAATTATTTGACCTTTCTGCACTAATGAAAAGTGATTTTTCTGGCAATGGAAATTCAATAAGCAAGAAAATTATTTTAAAGTCTTAAACTTTTTCTGATTTTAAGCGAATAGGTTAAATTTATCTTGAATATGTAGAAAAGGACATCAAAAGTGGGGGTATATGTTGTAAATTTTTAGATATTACTAAGAAAGTGTCAATTTTACGTTAAAATTGGCTCAATTTTTTCCTGGATTTTCAGAATATATTTACCAGGGTACTATATTTGTCACACTTTGTAAATAGAATTCATAAGAAATAATTTAATAGATATTTCAGAACCAGTATAAGGCCTAAAAAAAAATATGTTTGTTTCCTGTAACCCGACCGACCCATTCAAATTATCCCCTGGTGGATTTATTTTCTGACAAATGGCAAAACTTCGTTTGATCAATCAACTGATTCCATTTATATAAGAAATAATTTAATAGATATTTCAGAACCAGTATAAGGCCTAAAAAAAAATATGTTTGTTTCCTGTAACCCGACCGACCCATTCAAATTATCCCCTGGTGGATTTATTTTCTGACAAATGGCAAAACTTCGTTTGATCAATCAACTGATTCCATTTATTAAATTAAAAAAAATAGCTTTTAGCTTAATTTGAGACATAAAATATGTCAACTTAGTGTATATTTACCTTAAATATACAGAGCAATCATTATTGTAACAACATTTTCCCCCTACAACTTTCTGAAGTTTGTTTTCTGCCGCTTGGCAGCCATTTTGGATGCCATACTGGGTGTCCACTGTAAATATAACACCTGGTATTTTAGGTCCGGGGATGTTTGACCATTCATAAGCAAAAAAAAAAAAAAAAAAAAGAATTTCCGACCTACCGACCCTTGATTTTTTGGGAATGTTACAGGAAACAAACTTTTTTTTTTTTAAGCCTAATACATTTCACTGCAAACAACATCTTTGTGTGCAACCTGGATGGTAAAATAAGAATCCAAAATTAACAGTACTGTTATAGTTCAAAATGGAAAAACTGATCATTTTCGTCTAAAAAAAACCTTCCGCCACAAAATATAGTCCCTAGTGTAATTCTACTTGAATGGAATTTAATCGTGGTTTTCTCATTAAATATAGTTAAATTTGCATCGTAGAATTCAGATTTAATGTTAGAAATTAAAAATGATGCAGAATCTTATAGATAAAGGACCTGACCAAAATACGCTCAAAATCTCAGGATCGAACGTCCTTAAAATAATCAGCTGTGTCAGAGCTGTTATCTTTTAGTAGATCATCACCATGATCACTTTGTGTATTTCCGAGATTCTGCGTCTAACTCCTGCTTGTTTATTTTATATTGTTACATATGTCTCCCCTTCACATGTCACAATATAAAAAAATTGGGGTTAGAATCAGAGAATCTCAGATTACACTTTTTGGTACAGTAGTCATAGCCATTATATTTTGAAAGATTATAACATTGTTTTGGGGAAATTAAGAAAATTAATCAATTTACATTAAAATTCATCAATTCTTGTTGGTTGATGGCTTAAAGCTACTCCCCACACTGATTGATGCAAGATTTATGTCACTTGACTTATAAGAGTTTGTTTCAGATATTTCAGATTAACTAATTGACTGATGAGAGATGAAGGATTTATAAGACTATAAATACCTTAAAGCAACATGAGCTGCATTTTTGAGAAATTTATTATGCTGTTAAAATTTCTATTATGACAGATTTGTATGTAATTTAAACTTTTGTGATCAATTAGACTGAACCAAAGCATAAAATTGTTTCATTATCAAAGAAATCAAATATTGTTTTTGGTACACATGAAAAAAAAAAATCAATTTGGTGATCCAGAATGTTGGATCACAGCATCATATGATTGCTGTCTACTGTATCCCTGATAAGATATGTAATTCTCCATTGGGGTTTTGCCAAAGTTACTAAAAATTAATTTTTTTATAGTAACAGTGTTTGAAATAACCCGACGACCCGAGACGCACAAATTTTGTCACGGGCGAACAGATTTGCATGTATTGACGCATGGCTGGATGTGTAAAATTTTCCTATAAATTAAAATTTAGATATTTGATAAACCTCTCTCAAATCAACTAATATTACTGGCTTCAAAGAGTTACAAGCAGTAATATCGCGAGTACCTCGCAGATTTCTAATTTACTACTGCTCTTTTGCGGGTGAGTCGAGAAAGCTCTAAATCTCTTGAATCACTTGGGCACATGGCATTGTTTACAATAGTGACAATCAAATGATGCGAACAATTTTACACCAAAAGTACAATGTATTGCTAAGAATTGAACTCCAAATAGTAAATTGTCAAATAAGGAAAGTTTAGAAAAATTTTTCATCTGTACAATGTGACGATTTTCAATAAATATTTAATGAGAAAATTCCCACTTAGTTAAAATATCGTAAAAAATGTAACAGTTTAAGATTAGATCATCTCAAAAATTAATTAGGCTGGTTCAGCAATTGTTTAGCAAGGCCAGCATTTTTTTATTTTTAGGTTTACAAACCCGCCGCTCAAGTTTTTGAATTTTCAGAAAAAAAAATAAAATTGAGAAAAACAGATTTTTTTCTTTCCGATGTCAAATTTGAGTCGGGATCAGATTTCAAATTTACGAATCGTACTTCCGGTTTTAAATGATGAAGGGAGATTTGTGTCAAGTCCATAGCAGCACTAAAGCTTGGTTTAATGTAAATATTTATCGATAAGAGTGCCATTCAAAACGTTTCACCCGTTCAGAGAACAATAAAATGCTGACGACTTTGTTGCAAAGTGACATGGTGGTGAGATAATTATGTATCCGTATTCAAAAGTAACTGTCTGTAATTGTAAATTATTTTCCTCCCAGAGGTTTAAAACTGCCCATGGTAGCTATTGTCAGAGACATTGTTTAGGTTTCTGTCATAGCTTACAGTCTTAGCATCATTCTTCAGAAAAACACAATGCATCAGATGTAATGAATAAAACTATGGGAGAAGTTAAGTCCATTTGATGAAGAAATAAACAATAGCCTAAAGAAATAAAATATTTCAACTATTTAAAAACAATAATGTACAAATATATACAGGCATGTAGTATCGTTTATGGCAGCCAGAAAAATTATTTTACACTTAATTAAAAAAAATTCCACCCTACTCCTCAATACTCCTTGGGAATACTCCCTGTCTGTTTTATGAAAGGAATTATTACTTTTATAGGTCTCAAATATAATATATTAATATTTTAGAATAATTTCTACCTAACACACATTAAAAACAAAAATGAAGATATATTAAAAGAGATTTAAAAAATTGATTTTTTAAAAAAATCTGTATTTTGTCCAACATCAAAAGATTTATATCACTGCCCCCAACTGGTAGATGATGAAATAAACAATTAAAGGTTGTATTTTCCCCTTTGTAACCCTTATGTGTCCAGTGGCAAGAAGCCTGTTAGGAGAGCATAAAAAAAAGCAAAAATTAATGTAGAAAAGTCGATAATGTATCCAAAATATAATTTATTTTTTTTTTTATTTCCTCCTCCTACGGGACTTTTTCATTCTGATGTTCGTAAACCTAAAAATAAAAAAATGCTGGCCCAAGGTATTCCACCAAGATTTTTTACTTATCTGACCTTATAAATTCTACAATGGTCGATCCTTGCATAGTGTTCAATAGCACATTTGCCCCATCCAACAGACGTTTCCTACCTCCATCGCGAAAGAGTTCCGCTAAGTTAAATAATCGCGATATCAAGTAATCCAATATATAATGAGCTGGCCCCATTCACATTACTGTTAAAATGAACTTTTAAAAGGCAATTGCTTTTTTCGGGCTGGCACATTTTTGGCAGGGCTGACAACTTCCACTGGCAATCAGCCCTGCATGTCTAGCTAATTTTACAGCGAGTTTCAAACACTGATAGTAAATTATAAAAACCATGCTCCTCCTATAGTTTCAACCCAATTTGATAAGACTTGGTACACAAGTTCATTACCACATAATTCTTTTATCAGTTTTTAATTTTGACAAACATTTGTGATAACGGTTATGGAAAATTATAAAAAATTCTGTTATTTATGTTTAATCTGTTTACTGTTAAGAAGACAGAATAAACCCAATATCTATTGATCCATTGTAGTGAGGATGAGACCTCGGAGAGTGATGCTAATGTTCCAGAAGTGGAGGAGGACATTGAAATAGAAGAGATAGAATCAGACTTCCAAATCACAAAGGATAAGAAAAAACACAAAAAGCACAAAGGTAAAAACAAGCATAAACATTCCAAGAGTGAAAAGAAAGATGAAGCGAAGAAAAAACATAAGCACAAAAAGAAGAAAAGCAAATCAAGTCGACATGACAAAGAAGGACGCTCATCTAAAAAGATGAAAATCGACGACTCTGTTGATTTAGAGAAGCTAGAAGCTGCAAGGGAAGCTTTAAAAGAGGTTCTGCAGTCAGAAAGCAATGGGAACATTATTAACTCAAATCCTATGGATTTAATAGCACAGGGATATGCAGGGTCAGATTCAGAGGAAGAGGGGGAGGTCGATTATGAAGAAACACAAAAAGAGAAAAAGAAAAAACAAGAATGGAATATTTTACAAAATATCATAAAGGAGAAAAAGAAAGCTGAAGAAGAAGCCGAAAAAAGAGAGAAGCAAAAGGTCCAGGAGGAGAGCGGGGACTCAGACTGTGAGATTGTGTCAGTGACCGAGGCAACTCGTAAAATGCCCCCTTTGAGGCCTCAAAGCAGTCTGTCCAAAGAAAACAGAAAGTCAGAGAAGAGTCGGAGGGAGTCTGATCGTAGAGAAAAAGACAGAAGAAGAACATCCGAGTCTGAAGAAGCAGCCAGAAGGGATGAACGAAGGAGGAAAGAACGGAGCAGTGAAAGACAACGAAGATCCAGAGAAAGGGAGCCGAGAGACAGAGATCAGCCTTCTAGAGAAAGAGAATATACAGAGCACAGGGCTAGGGACAGGGAGCACATTTCCAGAGAGAGGGAACAAAGATCAAGAGATAGAAGAGCTTCCCTCAGTAGGGAGAGAAGCAGGGATATCGGCAGGGAGAGAAGGAGCAGATCTCCAGTTCAGAGAGGGTAAATTTTATTTTTTTAGTTTTAAAACTTTCTTATATTTATAGATGTGTAAAATTTATGATGTTTTCATGTCTTGTCCAATTTTCAGCTCTGAGAGATCCAGAGATGACAGAGTAAAAGAAGGGATGAGTTCTAGAGAGAAGTTTAGGGAGGAACGGCGTATTGAGGAAGAGAGGAGAAGACGCGAGGATGAGGAAAGGGGAAGACGAGATGATGATGACAGAAGAGATGAGGAGAGGGGAAGACGAGATGATGATGACAGAAGATTACGCGATGATAGAAGAGATAGAGACAGAAGATCTCCAAGGCTCAGGTCAACTGACAGAGGGTACGTCTTATTCTTAGAAGCAGTGCAATCAGTGCTCAGGGACTTTTTGTTTTATTACAAATTGATTCTTTTCTCTGTGTTACTGGCTAATAGAAAGTATTTTTTTACAGGCGACATGACAGAAGTAGGTCAAGGGACAGAAGAAGAAGCAGGAGGAGTAGATCCAGGGATCGCAGAAGGAGGGAGGAGGATAAATTCAAAGGCAGCTTGTCTGAGGGCATGGCTCTACATCAGGACTCTGATGAGGAGTAAGTCTTTTTCAAGAAAAAATTCAGATCATGGGCACTACACACTAGGATGAGATCAAAATTCTAGTTAAGCCCCTCAGATTGTGAAGAATGAGATCATAATTGAAGGTCTGCTCTGTCTGTGGCAATAAGTGTGAAAAATATTTTGAAATATTCTTCTGTAAAAGAACTGGGTAACATTTAGTCATTTTGATATTCAAGTATCTCTATCTTTTTCTTCAAGAACACCTGGGAAATAGTCATATTGAATTGAAATGATCTCTGATGAAGTAAAAATTCAAATCTGGTCAGTTAAATTCACATTGGAGTGAAAATAAAATCAAAGTTTAACCTTGTAATAAACAAAAATCTTAAGAAGGCTAACAGAGCCAATATAATTCAGATGAGAATATATATTACAGGCCCATGGGCCTGTTGTTTCTAAAAAAAAAAAAAACAACTTATGATGTCTTATTCCAGGGTTAACATTGACATACCAGATGATGATGATGATGATGAAGATGCTTTGATAGAAAAGAGGAGAAAGCAAAGAGAAGCCCTTTTACAGGTCTGTTCTTCTATACTGCCTTAATTTCACAGAGACATTTTCTGACGGTTACAGAAGATATGCATTTTTTTCCATTTAAGTAAATGTCATGCATAATTTAACCTTCCTTTTTAGCGTTTGAAGACCGAAGAAGACAGCATGGCATCTGCCCCCTCACCTAAGCCACCGTCACCGGAACCATTACCTTCTGGCCCCCAGTCACCCTCCCCATCTCCATCCAGGTCAAGGTCATTCTCCAAGTCAAGGTCAAGATCAGATTCACGCTCCAGATCAAGGTATCGCTCTTCTTCCAGAAGTTCCAGTTCTGACAGCAGTTCAAGCTCCAGCTCCGATTATGAGGAAGAGGCCTATAAATATAAGAAAGGGTCTAGGAATCAAGACTCTCAGAGAAGCAGGAGGAAGGTGAGGAGTCCAGATTCTCACCAGGGAAGTCAAAAATCAAGGAGTCCTTATTCTTACAGAGGTAGAAAGGGGTCAAGTAGTTCTGATTCACAAATATCCAAAAGAAAGTCTGCCAGTCCTTACAAGAACAGTGATAGGAAATCTGACAAAGTAAAACCTCAATCAGAGGAGAACACAGCTAAGGCAGACCAAGGAAGCAAAGATGACAAACTGGAGAGTAAGTTTATGTTTGGAGATATTGCTAAAACCATCATTAAAGTTTACCACAAAATTTACCTCAAGTAAACATATTTGTTTTTTTTTTATTTCAGTGGAGCCACCAGTAAAAGATGGTGAAAAGAAAAGGTCAAAGACTGACATGTTTGCAGATACCCAAGACATGTTCAGTGATGCTTATGCTGTAAGTAAATGTGAAACATGTAATACATCAGTATTAAACCTAATGTCATCTAAGAATGATAAGCCTCAATGGATTGGGTGTGGATTATGAATGAGATTTTACATGTAAAACTGTTGATAATTTCAAATAATACTTGTATAGTAAAACAATTCTTTTTTGTATATCATTTCCAGTTGGGAAGTCCAAGTACAGTGGCAAAATTCACTGGTCCTGTAGTTGAGAATCCCACATTGATTGACAACTGGGATGATGCAGAGGGTTACTACAGTAAGTCAATTATAATACTTATTTAAAAAGTTTGTTTAAAGGAAAGAATAAATGCAGCAATCATAAACATCTTTAATAAGAAAAGCCTGAAAACTTTTATTTCATAGGATTAAATGCCAACCTGTTTATGTTTCACTTCACATGATCAAATGCTGCCCGTTTAAAGTTTTCACTTCTCATATGATCAAACCCTGACCAATTTAAGTACTTTATTGCAGGAGTGAGAATTGGTGAGATGTTGGACAAAAGGTACTCGGTGTATGGGTACACTGGACAAGGAGTGTTCAGTAATGTCGTCCGTGCCAGGGATGAGGCGCGGGGAAACATGGAGACTGCCATCAAAATCATCAGGAACAATGAAATCATGTAAGTTGAAAAAAAATCCAGTCTTAATTTAATCTCCCGTATATTGTTAACCAATGCCCTTTTCATGTGTTATTGATTTTCCTGATTTTTAGGTCACCTGAGTAAACTCAGGTGACCTATTGCTATCTGTTTTCGTCTGTCGTCGTCCAACGTGTGTTAACATTTGAACATTTTCAGCTTCTTCTCTGCAACTGCTCAACCAATTTCAGCCAAATTTGGCAGAAAGCATCTATGGGTGAAGGGGAACAAAAATTTTGAATTTCATGGTCCCTGCCCCCCTGGAGCCTGAGGGGTGGGGCCAAAAGCACTAAAATTAATGCAATCTTTAAAAATCTTCTACTTTACTCCTGGACATCAAGCAGTCAAACTGTTGGCATGATTGTAATCAGCATTAAGTCCTCTACCCAAGTTGTAAAATTCATGACCCCCGGGTCAGGGGTTCTAGTGCTAGGGTGGGGCCTAAATAGATTATATAGTGAAAATGCATAAATTCTTTGAAAATCTTCTTATCTGCTCCTGGGCATTAAATAAACTAACCAAATACATAGTTGTGTTTAATAAGGCTGCCTCTACCAAAATTGTGAAATTCATGGCCCCTGGGTCAGGGATTCTAGTGATAGGGCGGGGCTCTATTGATTATATAGTGACATTGCATAAAATCTTTGAAAATCTTCTTCTCTTCTCCTGGGTATTAACTAACCAAGTACAAAGTTATGATGAGCAAGAATGTCTCTTCCAAAATTGTGAATGTCATGGCCCATGGGTCATGAGTTCTGGTGTTTGGGTGGGGCTCTATTGATTATATAGTGAAAATACATTAATTCTTCAAAAATCTTCTTCTCTGCTCCTGGGCATTAAATAAACTAACCAAGTACAGTTATATTGAATAAGGCTGCCTCTTCCCAATTTGTGAATTTCAGGGCCTCTGGATCAGGGGTTCTGGTGGTAGGGTAGGACTCTATTGATTATACAGTGAAAATACACCAATTCTTTAAAAATCTTCTTCTCTGCTCCTGGGCATTAAATAAACTAATCAAGTACATAGTTATGTTGAATAAGGCTGCCTCTTCCCAATTTTTGAATTTCAGGGCCCCAGGGTCAGGGATTCTGGTGTTTGGGTGGGGCTCTATTGATTATATAGGGAAATGCATGAATTCTTTGAAAATCTTTGCCTTTGCTCCTGGTTAATATGCCATTGATCAAATTACATATTTATAATGAAGAAAGGTGCCTCTTTCAAAATGGTTAAATTCAGGGCTCCTGAGTCAGAGGTAGGGGGAGGGGGTACTTTGTCTGAAAATAAATTAATATTTTGAAATCTTCTTCAACCATTTATGATGAAATAAAATTATTTATGATAAAATTTCCAAAATTTCTAAATATGTGGCTGCAGGGTCAGTGGTTCCTGTGGGGTAGGGTGCACAACTCTTGATTATAAAGTGGAAATTCATTTTATGGCTGTTGGATTAAACACGAACCAAGTTTAATTGCTGGAAAGTTGTTACATGATACTCAGGTGATCTATAAGGCCCGTGGGCCTCTTGTATGTTGGAATCACAAACCTTTAAGAATGAAATAGCCTGAATGGAAAAAAAAAGTTTCTATCTGTACAGATTCCTGTGTAGTTTATTTTATGTGAAAGATCATTCATTAGAATTTTTAAAAGTTTTTAACAATATTTTTAAACTTCAAAATGAATTTAAAGCTGTTTGTAATACACTGTACATGTATCTCATTTGTATTGTTTAAAGGCACAAGACTGGTTTGAAGGAACTGGAATTCCTCAGAAAGCTCAATGATGCTGACCCTGATGATAAATTTCACTGCCTTCGCCTATATCGACATTTCTTCCATAAAAATCATCTTTGCTTGGTGTTTGAATCACTTAGGTAAGATTTAGTTTATCTATTCTAAATATGTTGTGCTGTTATATCTGTATGTTGAGAATATGGCGCAATACATGTATTGTGATTTTTAACTCTTTATGTTTATCGAAATGACATAATTGCCTAATTTCATGTGGTATGAATAGAATTGTGTTATACGCTAAATTTTCTAAATGGTGAAGTTATATTTCTAAATGGTGAAGTTATATTTTTTCAGCATGAATTTGCGGGAAGTATTGAAGAAGTATGGGAAGGACATAGGTCTCCATGTAAAGGCCGTCAGATCTTACTGCCAACAGCTGTTTCTGGCTCTGAAGCATCTGAAAAGGAACAGTATCCTGCATGCTGATATCAAGCCTGACAATATTCTGGTTCAGTATCAGTCATTGTTGATATCTTTGTACATTATCTGATGCTGATATACTGTAAATGTATTTCATTTAGCAGTGTATTCTAATTTGTGATTTTGGTGTAAAAGAGATTCCACTAAATCAAGTGCATTGCTAAATGTCTTGTACATCATTAGTTATTTCTAGCGCATTCAGATAGTGCTAAATGAATTCTCTCGCTAGGTTGTTGAAAAAAGAATTTCTGCCAAATATTATACAGGTCAAATATAATACATTTACAGTATTCTGGTCAGTATCGGTCAGTCATTGTTATTTATATCTTTATCTATTTTACTTTTAATCAAGGATCTCTGGAATCTTTCATTTATAGGCCTGCGTTATTTTAGGTGTACTCTGCACAGAAATAATTTTGTTCCTGCATAAGTATTCTTCAAATACATTTTTTTAATTAAAAAAAATATCAGTATGCATTTTGATATCATTTATATCCTGTTATTTTACTGCATTTTCACCCACAGGTAAATGAGAATAAATTACAGCTTAAGTTGTGTGACTTTGGCTCGGCTTCCCACGTATCAGAAAATGACATCACACCCTACCTTGTCAGTCGATTCTACAGAGCTCCAGAGATCAGTAAGCCCAATATATTATACAAATTTTATTTAGAAATTATTGTACATGAGCAAGATCAAAAACCATACTCAGATTTTCAAAATGAAAGATTTTTTTTCTAAACAGAAATGTCTGAACTATTCTTTTGTGGTTTACAGTTATTGGAATGGGGTACGACCATAGTGTGGACTTGTGGTCAGTGGGAACCACTATATTTGAGCTGTACACGGGCAAGATCTTATTTCCAGGACAGTCTAACAATGAAATGCTCAAGTTTATGATGGACCTGAAGGGCAAGTTCCCCAATAAAATCATCAGAAAGGGTATGTTTAGGGATCAACATTTTGACGGCAACTACAACTTCCTGTATCACGAGGTGGATAAGGTCACACACAGGGTAAGCTGTCCTCTTACAAAGATTTTCTTGACTTCCTTTTTCAAGTAATAGTTGTTAACATTCATAGGTCGATGTGATTTTAAATTGATCTTGAAAACAAAAATGAGTACACAATGTAGAAGTTTCATTCAGATATTCAGTACATATACTTTCATTTGCTATCTAGAATTAAAGATCAATATTTTGTACATTTATTATTAATGCTTAGAAATAAAATTATACCTTTGCTTGAAAAGTGTGGAGTATATTTTGATGGGAGTGTTCTTTTGTGCATCCCTCTATCTGTAACATTTGAGGGTAACCAACATTCTCTTTTCTGGAACTCCTGAATGCATTTTAATAAATTTTTTTTACAAATCTTTATTACATATTGGCATTGTTAGATTTTGATCAACATATATATTTTGTGGAGCATTAAGTCCAAAATATCTTACTTTTTCCAGGCAATTTTTAACAATTTTGATATTTAACAGGCTAGGAACATCAAATGTAATAAAAAAAAATCTTTAAAGTAAAAAATACCTGAAAAATTTAAGATATTGGGGTTGGGCCATGAATACTGTCATTTTTTCTGGAATATTAGGAGTACCCATCTCATCCACGATTCCTCCTAAACCACTGGCTAATGTATAAATTTTAGGTTATGATCAGAAAATTATTTTTAGTTTGGAAAATGCAAAAAAAAATACAAAAAGCAAAACAAAAAAAAAACAAAAAACGACACATGGGAAAGGAGGTAGAGGTGTAAGATTATATTGTAGCTCAGTGGGCACAGTACTTCTGATTTGAAATGTCTTGCACGAAAAAGGGATGCTTATTTAAGTCTGTAATTAGATAACTTTTTATGGACTATGGTGACATTGGGTATGGCAGGGACAGGTAAGATCAGAGACCATTTGTTTTGTAGGAGAAGGTGTCTGTCCTCAGTACTATCAGCGCCAGTAAAGATCTCCTGGCCGAGCTGATCGGATACCAGCGCCTCCCCGAGGACCAGATGAAGAAAGTCAAGCAGCTGAAGGACCTTCTGGAGACCACCCTCATGTTGGACCCCAGTAAACGGATCTCCATCAACCAGGCGCTGACACACCCCTTTATACAGGAGAGACTGTGATAGCTAACTGTATGTCAGGGCGGGGGGATAGGTTGTAGTGGCATTCAAAAGTCTTGTGCACATTGAGAAGGAGAATATACACAATGAGGCTGTGTTAATGTAAGCTGAAGACAGGTTCCTGAGAGGAGAACTCTGAGAAAAAACTTATTTTGTAGTGCTTGAAATTTACAGATTGTTAATTATGATGTGTGATCATCTTGACAGTATCAGAATATTTTTATGTTGAAATCATGAAAAGAAACATGACTGAAACTATACTGTTCTTGTAAATACTGATTTACTTGAAAATGTTAGAATGTATATGATATGTTTTATATTTCAGTATGAGCCACTAGCCTAGAGGCTCTTATGCTCTGTGGCAGGGAACACTAGCTTGGTATATATTAAAGGTAACCAAAGTGAAAGTGAAAGTACAATATTTCTGATTATACATGCAATACAGCATTGATTTTAAGGTTTCAATTATGATATAGGTAAGAGACATTCCAATTTTATCTAATGTCTTGAAAAGAAAATTAAAATTTTCTGTTGGTTAAAAATCTTAATACTTTTAAGAAAAAAATCACAAAAAAGAAAGTAAATAGGTGTTCAGATATAATTAACCTCAATAACTTATATGTCTTAAAATCTGTAATACCATTAAATAATTTTCCAAAAGATAATTTTTGATTCAAAATTGTGGAATAAAAATAAATATAACGTATGTTATGTGATATAAAATGTTTGTCTGTGATGCAAGTTTTATGAAAGTTTTTGGGACTTTTTTTGTTCCAGACAGAATGGTAAAATCTGGATAAAGTTTGCTCCCAATAGCTTCATCTCAAATTTCAAAGATAAGTGAAAAATCAGATGTAGATATTTTCCCACTGATTTGTAATAAGTATAACCTGAAGAAAAAAAATTGACTGCATAACTTCACAGCATTTTCCTCCTAAGTTCAGTGCTCATTGTAAGATAAGTGAAGTTTAATTTAGTCAATTAATAGTAAGAATTTATATGCATGTATTTTATTTGACAGGATAGAGATATATTTTAAGTTCATTTTGTACCATATTATTTACCCTATATACATGTAATTATCATGTAAAATGTTTGTTATGTGAACCTTTGTAGTTTGAAATGAAATAAATTTCTGATGTCAATGTTTCTCTTCATGTAGGCCTTAACAGGACAGTTAGAAAAGCCAGCAGAGTTTCTCACAGGGGTTTCGTGGTAATAAATGTTTCTTGACTTTTTGCATCTGATATTTAATTCCTACATGTTTAAGCTCTTGTCCCCTTTAACCTCTGACTGACTCGCACAACACAAGACAAAAATTATTTATATGCAAGAAAATATGTGTTAACTGAAAAAGTTTTTTGTAGCATTAGAACTTGGACATTTTCTAAATAAATTGCTTTTTTCTTTGCATCCTGTATCGGAGAGAGAGTTAGAGACACATCTCGCTGAGTCGAGACCAATCAGTTGAAAGCTGGGAACAAGTTGAACCATTTACAGTGTATTCACATGTTGAACCACCTGTGGAGGAAAATTCAACTGCTCACGTAACATACAAAAAAATCATGTATGACAACCAAAAATAGTGTTCAAATATTTCATAAAAATGTACTCTGTTGTGAAGAAATCAATTTTTTTTAAAAGCATTAATTGCTTTTTACAACAAAGAATCCAACAGTATGTACCTATAAAATGGAAATGGAAGTACATGTATCTAGATGCTCATGGAAGAATAAAAGGAACATAAGCATAAAAACAGAGAAAGTTGCTTGAAAAAACATATTGCAGTGGTAAAATGAATTGGGAGTTCTGTATAACAGGTTATTATATTATTAGCAGTGTGCAAAGTTAGCGATTTTATTATAAAAATGGCTGTTTATTATTTGTGCAGTTAATCTTTAGTGATTGTGGGGGTATTCCTCTCTGTTTATTGTTTAATTACTAGCAACATATATTTTTAACAAACAATGACCACTGCTAATAATGTCATAATTAGATGGTCCTCTAAAAAATTCCTGTTACACAGTACATTTGAAAGTACAGATAGTTAATTTTGGGAAAGGGGTTTTTATATTAAAAGTTTAAAGAAGTTTAAAAAGAAAAGGTATGACTTTTGGGTCAAAATTCCTTGGAAATGCTGAAGTAAGTATTTAATTGTGATAAAGGTTTACTTTTGTGCATTGTAATGAAATACTGTTTTTATTTTTGTAGATAGGCAATTCCAGCTGGCAGAAGAGGAGTTAGCATTTCAAGGTTATAATAAGATTGAGTAACACAGTGTATGATATTATGTGGTGGCATTCAAAGGGGAAATCTGAAGCCACAATAAAGAAATCTTAGTATTTATATATGTATATTCTGATTAAGAACATCAAAGAAGTAGCAGAGAAGCCCTCTGTACCCCTATCTTAGGATCGGTATAACGCATCAAATGAAGAATCTTGAGATAATTTATTTATGTTAAAATTTTAATAAGATGTTCTATTCTCTAAGTGCTTTGAAAAAGTTAATCCTTTAATGTCAACGTACAATGCAAGTATTGAGAGGATCAAACAGAGAAGAGGGGCCAGTACCAAACGTTCTTTTTTTTTAGGGAAGGAGAGAGTGGTACCTAGAGGTCACATTTTTTGGCAATAATTCCAGGCAGTTTGTTATTGAACATGTGTGTTAATTTTAATGAAAATCTTGTTTACTATTGCTGCTGATAAATCAAAGTAATACATTTGATATTTTCAAATTGATCCCCCACCCAAATAAGACTGACAAATCTTTCCAGCTGGGAGAGTAAATAATTTTGTTTCAGATACCAGTCCAAGATGTAGCATATCTTTTTTTGAAGTAAACATTGATGTAAATATATATTGAACTATTTTAATATTTCCAGGTAAGCCCTTTATCCACATTCTTATGACTCTTGGAAAAAGGAAGAGTTGTCAGCCTTTCCTATGGTGATGGATATTAATTTCGTCTGTGTTACGTAGTGGTGGTCCACTTGCATGTTGCATTGCCAAAAAAGAACTAAAAATATGGAGTAAAGAACTCGAAAAACAAATTAGATATATTCCAGTACATTTCCTGTTCAATTTTTTTGATATACTCTTATGTGTATATATTTTCATGAATTACAAATACAATATTAATTTGGACTAGTGTTGAGTTTGATTTTCCATCTATGGTTGACTTTTAAATTGTAATGTTAAAAGTGATAAAGGTCTTCCCAAGAGTTCATTGAGTTAATGGGGTCCTATTGTGGGATCTGCTGTTGTATTCTACTCTGCCTGATTTTACTAGCAATTGATGAGGAAGTTAGCTTTATAGAGGGAATTGATTTGAAATGACTGATCAGTCAAATTATTGGTTTCACCCTCAAATCATCGGTTTCTTCAGTTGACAACAATATTTTGATTGCAACACATGCTGATGAACCACACTGAAAGTAATTGTAAAAGAATGTTGTGTCTCCTAAATGTAAAATCCACCACAGTTCATCCCCCATTTGATCAGTCTAATGCGATATTGAAGCCGCTTTCTTATCTAATCTGTTTAGGCCAAAAAAAATTAATTTCTTGGTTCTCAGGCCCTCCCTCATCTCTTCCAAGGGCACCTCATTGACCCTTTTTATTGCTAAATCAATAAAATAAAAACAACAAATCACCTCCCTCATCATTTTTTGAGGTTTTGTGCAATGTAAAAAGCTGCCTCATCATGTTTTGGGGGCAATAAAAAGTAAAATAAAATGCCTCCCTCCCTCATCATATTTCTTGAAAAAAGGCCTGAGAACCAAGGAATTAATTTTGCATGGCCTTAACATGATGTTCGAAGATTCCATTTGACATGCTTAATAAATGATGAAAAAAGGTCAATAAATATGATGCAGCTATCAGCTCATCAGTTTGTATCAGCATATTTTAAGGATTGATAAAAAATATCTTGAATATGTTCTTTGAAACTGAGCAAAACATAAATTTAAGAAAAATGAGGTCATGGTCAAAGGAAAGGTCAAGGCCAATCGAGCTTTAATCTTGCATGAGTTTACAAGCTTCATGAACTGTATGGATTAGTTCAAATCAAAGGTACAGAGGTTCACGTAAGAATGTTTATCGTATCCTTGACAACAGGCCTTCAGTTTGGACAACAGGCCTTCAGTCTTGCACAACAGGATTTTTGCAGATTCTCGGTCAGTAAGGAATTGAAAACAAGTCATCTATCAGACACTTAACTAATAAGAGACTTATTCAGTGCAACATATATTGATAAAAATAATAAAACCACGGGAATGAAGATTGGGGACTTTGTATCAAAGTAAGTTTTATTGGAACGCATTCTTCTGTCAAAGAACTGCGAACGCTATTTCCCGAATTAAGCCTACATTTTATGCATCTATATTTCAATGAAATGAGTTTGAAATATTTGCTATTAAATATTTTTTTAAGTGACACTGTATGGAGTATGCAAATACCCAGATAATGTAACAGTCAAGTTCATGAATGCGTCAAAAACAAACGTCAATTGAAATCCATTTATTATATCCATTGTGTTTTAGGTTAGCTGAAGATCTGTAGCTCGCTGTCTGAAAAAAAAATTGGGACGGACGACCAGAGGGCTATAATGCCACCCATTGAAAAAAATGTATATTTATTGCGCGATTTCTCGATTTATTTGCTGTCATCTCAAATTTTTACTAACTATGTGTTCCAAACATATTCTTTTACTACTTCTACACCAAAACATTTCCCAAATCCGTTGTTTATAGTCCATCTGGGCTTGAAATTGAGACTATCGAAAAAGTTCGTTATGTATACTGCAATATTAGATGGCAAGATAAGTCGGTCCAATGCTCTTCATGTATGACTTGAACATAAAGTTCTCAAAACTTTTAATTTGTTGTGGAAGTAGTAAATGAACATACTAGAAATACACAGTAATCTCTTGAAATAAGTTGAGAAACCTCGCACTTTTTGTGCGTAATAAAAATACACACTTTTCTTGCAATGGATGGCACTGTAGCTCTCCCAATTATTTTTTTTTCAGACCATCGAGCTACAGATCTGCTCTTTTACGTGAAATCAGTACTAAAGTATCTTTTCCTACATGAGCTATATCAATATCTAAAATTAACATGTACGTCAACACGATCCACATTTCACATATCGGACATTTCTATGAAGGTCTGTTGCAACCACTATTGAAATACGACCACAATTGAAATAACTACATTGTATTTCAATAGTGGTTGAGAGTACATTTTAATACCAAACATAGTATGCAACCACTATTGAAATACGACCACTATTGAAATATATGTTTCAATAGTTGTTGAGAGTACATTTCAATACCAAACATAGCCTCGGGTTGCAACCACTGTTGAAATAATATTTACTTTTGAAATAAATATTTGAATAGTGATTAACACATAGATTTCAAAAGTGATTGAAATGTTGATTTCAATAGTGCTTTGTTGCAACCACTTTTGAAATAACGACCACTATTGAAATAATTACAGTCAAAACTGCCATAGCGACCCACTGTATTAAGCGACTCACTGTCACATGTGACCATAAAAATTCCCCCCAACGCTTTTCCCTATATATTCTACCTGTATTAAACGACCACCTGTCTAACGCGACCAACGACCGTGTTTTTCCTGACCATTTTTAGCAATTTCAAGCAATTTTACCTGAATTTAACGACTACATAATTTCTGATTTCTACTTTCGATTTCGGTCAAACATGCTTCGTTTTTGGTTCAAAACAACTACAGACACGCTTTTATTTATTTAATAATAATTTAATGCGAGTTTTACGAATAAAACAACATTTATAAATGAATATTTTTACTTACGCTTTGATATTTATTGAATAAACATTAAAATCTAAAACATAAACATCACGTTTTTCTGTCCAGTGATCGAGCGCCATTTTGAACATAAACGTTCGAGGTCGATCCCGATATCATTTCATGCTATAAGGGCCATATAGATATTCAGTTATAAAACCTGCCTGTTTAACTTTTATTAAGACGTAACTTAATCATAGATGTTTATTTAAATCACAAACAGGCAATTAGACACGGTATTTCAGTAAAGAAAAAAATTTACTTAGGTTAAATAAACATTTCAGTCATAAATATAATTTGATACCAAGTGCATAAAAAAAAATAATGATACAATTTTTAGTCTTAATAATATGCAAAACATATGAAGTTATAATTTACAGGCTATCATAAAAAAAACAGTTGCTATTATTAGGGGGAAAAACTTTGCAGCTTTTTTATACTGTACGAAAAAATATTAATATTTTCAGATGTTCACAATATTTCCCAATATTCAAATAACTCATGTGTGGATCAAGAAATTTTTATTTCTTAACAGGACAATATTGTAATTTAAGCATTTTAGATTTGAGCAGTACCCATTAAAAAGTGGAAATAAACATAAGGTGCTATAAAATACATTCACCAAACACGTGTGATATTTTCAGCATTGTATATTTTGAACACTGCGAAAAATAAGCAACCTGTATTAAGAGACCACCTGTCATATGTGACCTTTTTTCCTTTCTCCGTTGGAAGGTCTCTTAATACAGGTTTGACTGTATATCAATAGTGGTTGAGAGTGCATTTCAATAACAAACATAGTTAGTAACCACTATTGAAATACAACCACTATTGAAATAATTATATCAATAGTGGTTGAGAGTGCATTTCAATTACAAACATAGGTAATAACCACTATTGAAATACGCCCACTATTTCAATAGTGGTTGCAACAGTGCTTTAAACAATGAATCCAATAGATATTAAAATAATTAATAGTTGCTGACAATGATTTCAACACCATCCAAATATTTAAAGAAATATAAGGATGAATTACACATTCTGTTTTCTTACACAATAAACTAATTTAAAATATGATAGCTGAAGTTCTTTTGTTTTCCTTTTTTTGTAGAAATTTTAATTAATACACGGACACTTTTTGTTATACTTACCTACCTATAATTCAATCATATATGCAAATGTTATAAGCAAGCTCCCGCTGAACCTGACCGAATCGGCAAAAACCAACAGGCAATCAATTAATATATGCAATTTTGAAATAATTTGTTATATAAAGTTCTTCTTTTTTTTTTGCCATTGATTTTGAAAGGAAAGGATTATGAATACATGTAAATGTAGAAATTAAAATATCTAGACTACATTGAAATGAAGGAAGAAGACTGATAATTTTGTGTACAAACTTTCTAATGAAAATGTGGATACATGTATTTTTAGCTCACCTGAGCCGAAGGCTCAAGTGAGCTTTTCTGATCACATTTTGTCCGTCGTCCGTCCGTCCGTCCGTCCGTTCTCACGAAATAATGGTTAAGTGACAGTTTTTGTGCCCATTTAAGATTTATGTGACTCTTTTGTTTTATGTGACTGTCACATAAAAATTAGAATTTTTTTAGCAGAAATGAGTGTTATGTGACTTAAAAAATCGTTCTAAAGAAGTGTCACATAAAAAATATTGTCCGTATATGGACGTCCGTCAAAGGGTTTGAGAGTTACCTCCCGTACCCCATGTATCATGTTTTGCGCCACATAATTTTTTTTGAAAAAGTCACATAAATTTATCAGTCACATAACCTGCATTTCGTGGGTCCGTCCGTCTGTCCGTCCGTCTGTAAACTTTTCACATTTTCGACTTCTTCTCAAGAACCACTTGGCCAATTTTGACCAAACTTGGTACAAAGCATCCTTGGGTGAAGGGGAATTTAAATTGTTAAAATTAAGGACCAAGTCCCCTTCACAAGGGGAGATAATCAAGAAAAGACAAAAATAAGGTAGGGTCATTAAAAAATCTTCTTCTCAAGAACCACTGGGCCAGAAAAGATGAAACTTATGTGGCAGCATCCTTGGGGAGTGTAGATTCTAAATTCTTCAAATCATGACCCCCGGGGGTAGGGCGGGGCCACGATAGGGAATCAAAGTTTTACATAGAAATATATAGGAAAAATATTTGTAAACCTTCTTCTCAAGAACCACTGGGCCAGAAAAGCTGAAACTTATATGGAAGCATCCTGGGGTAGTGTAGATTCTAAATTGTTCAAATCATGACCCCTGGGGTAGGGCGGGGCCACGATAGGGAATCAAAGTTTTACATTGAAA